CTAATATTATATAAGATCTTTTATAATAATTAATAAATAATTTAATTAATTATAGCTATAAATAAATATATAAATACCTACCTAAGGTATATTAATTTATATAATCTCTAGCTTAAGTAAGAGTATTTAAGTAGATGATTTAAATTAATATTTATAGTAATAAAGGAAATATTTATAGATAGCCTAATAAAGAACCTTTCTAAGTAGTTATTTATATTATAGAAAGTTTATATAGGTATAGTAAAGGTAAAGAGAATAATTATAGGTAAGTAGGATTAATATATAAGGAAGTAGTAACTAAATTTCTATTTTATTTATTTAAGTAATACTTTAAAAAAGGTATTTTAGCTTATAAAAAACACTTATTCTAGTAAAACCTAATCTAATACCTTACTAAATATAATAAGTATTTACTTATATAGTAACACTACGCCTCTTAAACTCTCCTTAGCCTTAAAGCTAGTAAAAACATCTTTATACCTATTAGTATAATCCTCTAATAATTTAAAAATAAGATATAAGGCCTTATAGTACTTACCCTAATACTATAAATAATTAATAGTTATTTCTTATTAAGATTATATACTTAAGACTTATATTCTTATAAAACTTTATCTTAATTAAGGCTTAGAGGGCCTAAGTAAAGGGTATAGCCTATAAGTCCCTAATAAAATAATTAATATTTAAATAATTACTTAAGTATAGTAATATATAGAAGATAGTATATATACTTATTAAAATAATATTAGTAGTATTATAAAGTACTACTAGTAGTATTTTAGTAAATATTAGCCTATTTTACTAGGTTCTTACTAGCTAGGTAAGAGTATATATACCTATTATAAGGGATAAGGCGTAGCTTACCTAGCTAAGGTATACCCTTTAGGGCGGCGGTGGTAGTAGTAGTAGTGATAGAGGCGGCTAAGGCCTTTAAGGCTATAACTATATATAAAGTAGTATAAGATAATATAAAATTATTATTATTATTATTATTATTAGAGGGAGGGGGGGGGTGGGGGTAGACTTAGGCTTAGGCTTATCCTTATTATTATCTTTATTATTATCCTTATCCTTATCTTTATCTTCTTTTACTACTACCTTCTTCTTAATAGTAGTAGCGTGTAGGGATTATCTTATATAATATTTTTACTAAAGTAAATAATTAGTTAAGTATTTTACTAATATAATAAAAAAATATATAGTCCTCCTAGAGGTAGTAAGGGTAAGGCGGTAGTAGGTAATAGGGGTAAGGGTTTTAATACCTTTACTAGTAATTTTTTTAGTAATTATAATAATATATATTATATTTATAATATAATAATAATTAAAGAAAGAAGATAAATTTATATAAATAAAGCTTAAATTCTTATAGTTAGGTATAGTACTTACTTACTTCTTATTTAATATTTATATACTTACTTAAAAAGAAGGTAGTTAGGATATTATTAATAGCCTTATATATATATAATTAATTATCTAAAGTATAGATTTAAAGCTTAATTATATAATTAATTTCTCTTAAAGTTATAAAAGTTATCTTTAATATAGCTTCTTTTATTAATTAATAGCCTTAACTAGGGGGTATATTAAAGCTATAGCTATAGTAGGTTATATAGGCTATAGTAACTAGTAAGGTGCTATATTTTTAACTACTAATTATAAACTAAGGAAGGGAAAAGGTACTTACTTTAGCCTTTATTTCCTATATAAAACTAGGTACCTTTCCCTTAGGATGGTTTCTTCTAGGTAGACATATAATAATAGAATTACGTTGCCTAAAACCTTATGCCTACCGGTTTCTTATCATCTGCACCTCTAGGCAGCTGACTCACTAATCGTAAGCCTAGAGACCAATTGCTGAGACATCAGCCCGCCGAGACGTTGAGGTGGATTGCTGACGTAAGGCGGGACTCCTGCCCTCTTATTAGCTGAGAATTTTAGCGTGGGTCCGTGCGTGTGCTAGTCATGATTAGATTTGGACGTTGCATGTATTTAAAAACGCATTATATCCGTATATAATATGGCGTTCATAATAATGTTCATAGAGAAAGGGCTCTTTTTATCTGTGCGAGAAGCCCCTGTCAGAAAAGGTACTTCGTTGACCAGGGCCAGATTGTGCCTGACCAGGGGGTTATGCAGGGTAGTCAAATATGTAATTTTCTGACGAATTATGCCAAAAAACACTCGAGTCGGGTCACCAGTCACCACGAGTCACTAGTGCTCAGAAATACTCAAGATCAGGGCATAAAGCGCAACTTTGCAAAAGTAGGTACTAAAGTCGGCCACCAGAGTGTCGAATGAGGGCCCTTGTACTCGAACGCTCCACTAAATGGGGATCTTATCCATATACGGTTAGATTAGATAGGATCACGCCCTTATTAGTCATCTAAAAAACCATTAGTCATCTAGGAAAAGCGGGCTTAGGCTTCTATGAGTAGGGCTTTCTAACGCCTGATTAGCTAAGCTAAATGGGTGTGGGAATCTACTTAGGCGCAGGAAGACCCTATTAAGATATAGGAAGGCCTATTTTCTAACTAATTAGATAACAGATCCCTGATTCACTTTTCTTTTTCGGGATTAGTTTTATATAGCCTTATGTATGTTCTAAACCTATCTAGGCCGTTCGAGTACAAGGGCCCTCATTCGACACTCTGGTGGCCGACTTTATGGTGCACCGTACTATAGTTAACCGAGTTCAACGCCGGTTGCACGTGGACTCGATCAAATCAGCTGCTCAACGAGCAGCGTCTCGTCAAAGCAAAGCCACACCAGGTAAACAACCTAAAATTTTATGCCAGAGCATACAAGTTCTCTCGGAATATTGTTGGTTCTTAGTGTCTGCAGTGAGGCCTCATGAGCGCGGCAAACTATTAAACCACAGCGAGCGATTGCCGGGCCTACCGCCAACATTTCTTTTCGACATCATTCACTGCGTCGCGCCCCGGGGCGGATAACTTTCCAAGAACTGCATTAATGTAGCATTTCAGCCGAGCCACCGTTAATTTGATTGAGTCAAGATGCTAGTTTGAGACTATTTTGGTGTCAGGCTTCTCCGCCTGCACAGCACATTCATTCACCTTTGCAGCCTGTGGACCAGGAGACAGACACTCGGAATACATCAAAAGATCTATAAACTCATATAAATGTCTATAAAAACACCCAAGATCACAAACACGAACTACGTCCCGCATCAAATGCTTCACTTCCCCTTGACTTTACTCATCGGCTCCAACCCAAAGATGCCGCTCGCCGCCAGCGGATCCCCGAGCCCCGAGCCCTCATCCCCGTCTCCAAAGAGAAACGCGTTGCGCTCCCGACTCAAGTTGTTGAGGCCGCGCTGCTTCTTAGACTGCTGCGGCGACTGCGGCGACTTGCTGCCTGCGGCGGCAGCTGCAGCAGCTGCAGCAGCCGCAGAGGGCGTGGACTCGCCGGGCTCGAGCATCCAGGAAAAGGATGACTGCGCAATCGTGGAGCGCGTGGGCACGGCGGGGAGCTGCGGTCTAGCGGGGGAGGGCTCTTTTGGCGGTGTGAGTTGATTAGGGGCTTCTGTTGGCGGTGATGGTGTGCCCTCTGTTGGATGCTGGGCTGTCTGGGACGTCGTCTTGGCGGCTACTTGACCTGTTTCGAGCCGTGACTCTGCGGCTGGTGATTTGGCTGTTCCAGGTAGGGGAAGCTTAGCTGATTGCGTCGGCTTTACAGGCTTACTCTGGTTTGCTGGGGCTAGCTTCTCCGGAGCAGCTGATGGCGCATCTGCTTCCGTCCGTTTTGAGCTCTTTGCTTGTGCTTGCGACGGTGTTCTTGTGTTCTGGTCCGCCACATTATCCTGCTCCTTTCCGGCCTTGGCAGACTCTGTGGTTCCGCCCTCCCTGACTACCTCTTGAGGCTTGCGTGACGCGTCTCCTTGAAACAGCGGCACGTCCATAGTGGAGTCTTCCAGGTAAATCTGCACAAACTGCACCTTGGCGGCCGCCACCTCGAGCATCTGCCGGCTCTTGGCCTTGTCCTCGAGACTCGACGCCGAAAGCGCCTTGAGATCCGCCACCGTCTCGTTCAAGAAATTCGCCAGCTGCTTGTTACGCTTGTCCAGCGCCGCCGTTGCCGCATCACCGCCTCCCTGCGAGGACGGCCGCGGTAGCGCCACCCTGGCGTCGTTTAGGTTCTGCATGTTGCGGCGGAGCTCACCCATGGCCTCACGCACTGCCTGGTTGATGCCGAGCTTCTCGCCTCGTTCCAAAGCGGCGCGCGCGCTCTTAGCCGCGCCTTGAATAAACTGCTCGACACCCTGCGGGCCCCCACTGCGCAGCGCGCGTTGCCGGATGCTTTCGAGACCGCGGCGCGCGGCGGCTGTGGTGGTGGGACTGGTGGCGGAGGCGCCGGGTGTGGCAGGCGTTCGGTCTGTGTACTTGGCGATGATGTGAGCGCCCCCGGGGAAGTCAGGGTGGCTGCGCAGATAAATGGCGTCGTCGACAAAGGTGTGCGGACCGTGCTGGGGGTCCGGGGCGGGATACTTGAGGAGTAGCTGAAGGCAGACAGAGTAGTCGGCTTCCAGGACTGCAAGGTGTTAGTCTAGTAAGATCGTGGTGTCGGGGAAAGACGTACGCTGCCAACGAATCCGAAGGAGCATGGCGCAGCTGACAAAGTCGATGAGATCCAGCGAGGGGTCGACGGCAAAAATAGTATCCCACAGGATGAGGAACTGGTTGAAGGGGAATTCTCTGCTAAATAGCAGGCGTATCCAACGGCTTCAACAATTAGTAGGAAGTTTCTCCGAGAGGCGGACCACCTACATGAGGAAGATTTGTGGCAGGATCTCAATGTTAGTGAGATGTGCCGCCAGATCGGGATCAATCCTGTGAAGCAAGACTTGGTGAACGTGTTTGCTTCTCTCGACAATTGCCGAGCTGACCTCTTGAAACGACTGCATGCCCGACACGACTTCTTTGACTTCGTAAAAGAACTGTGCGCGCTCCATGAGCTTGGAGAATATGGCGTAGGCATCGTGCTCAATGTAGGCGGCGTCGAGCGTTTCCAGCATGATAACATCGAGCAGGCCGTTTTCGACGAGCGATTCGCGACTCACAGCATCTTGCTCTAGAACATGAACGATAGGTGCCAAGAGCTCATGCATGCCTTGACGGTAGCCGCCGCGGGCCGGGTTCAGCTTGCAGTAGATGAAGAGGACATCGAGTATCAGCAGCTGTATGGAATCTTGATGATAGTTGGCCTCGTCTGGAAGACGTTTGACGTCTTGCTCAATCTCGGCGCGCATCAGTTCATCCTGCCTGAGCGTGTTCCACGGCGACTAAGGCATGTTAGAGTGCACGCCGACGGGTAGGATGAGTGCTTACTTCAGGGTCGTCGTTGAGAGGGTCTGAGCTAATCTCCGCAAGGGCCTCGGGATGGCGAATGAACTTCAAAAAGTGCTGTCGCCGCTCTGCATACGTCTCTCGGGTGTGTCGCAGCGTCTGTATCCAGCTGTCGAGGCCAGTCTCTTGAAAGAGGAGAAACGTCTAGATCCGTCAGCTGAGAGCAGTCGACATGCAGGATGAGACACGGGCTTACCTTCCAGCACACGGAGCGACATCCGGACAGACACGGACTCGATGGGCCGTTGTTCGTGACGGCGCGCTGTAGATGAGCGACGGTGGTGCAGTGTTTGCGCGTCGCCTCCCATCGCAGCCTGCCCATGTCAGTCGGTCAGCTCATGTGGCGCGTCCAGGACACGGGCACATACTGCGTTTCCTCCATCGACCGCATGGTTGCGGGAGTTGCTGCGTGTCGAGGACAAAGTGCGCGGCCAGCACACCTTGCAGCCTCCAATTGACAAGTCAATTTGATGAAAAGGGAGAGGTAATCGATTGTGAGGCCGATGGCCAAGATCTCACCTGACGCCGTCCAGAATCCAAGCCCCACGGCTGCACTACGTTGTTTGCAGTGGGGCGACCATTCACTGCGTTTTGACTAGAGCGATATGGACTACCTACATACATTCAACGTGATTCTTGCGCGGACACGATAATGGCAAAGTTTTATAGTCCGGTGTCAAAAGATGCATGAATGAATTCCACAATGGTGTTGGCCATTTGAAAGTCTTGTGTTTCGTCAACAACTCTCCCGCGGTGTCTGCTGCGTCAGCTCTAGCAGCATCTAGCCAACGAGTTTCGAATGCGCCGATTAAATATATAGACATGTGTCTTCGATCTAATTATGTTTTGACTCGTCTCAAATTTTTCAGCCTGGCGGAGGAATATATTACCTCTTGGTCGATATCGCTCACATCAGCTCTGTATACATAGCTACCAGTAACTGGTTAGTGGGTCCAGCCAACAGCTTCAAGGTTAGGAACGGCAAGCAACTAGGTACAGCTTTAAGCGTGACCGTTATCCTGGCGAGCCTCACTCAAGATATTTTCCGTCGCATATACTGGGAATTTCATTGCATTGAGGCTCCATACCAATATAAATTCACAAGCTGCAAAGACACTGCCAATGATTGCTTTTGTACTGCTCTCTCGGCATGCTGACTACCCGATGCAGCATCGATCCACCCGGCAGCGAGCATGGTGGGATCTCAGGTCAACAGCTGGAGCTAGACAAGATGAACAAGGCCTTGAAAATGAGACAGAGAAACGACCAGGGTCTGCATTGAGCGAGCTCAGGAAAATCCGTTCTCCAATGTACGAGCCTGACAGGTCGACCCTTCGGGAGTTTTATCATCGGTTCTGGTACCCGCCTACTGGGCCGTATCTGGGGTGACACCACCGGAAGCTGGGGTATTATCCGACTCAAGTCGCGAATTCCGTTCAAGTGATTGGAGCACAACAGTGGACGCCTGAAAAATCATCCGAAACGGCCAGCATAAATAAGATCATCAGGTAGCAAGCCCATCGAAAGCTGTGGCATGATCAAACCATTGAAGAAACAGTTTGGCGTACCTACCCCTACCGTGCTACAGTGGGCGTACGGTGACCGTGTACCTTATCAACCCCACAAACGTCATCAAGCTAAAGCCGCCTAGTCTCGCCTAAATATTTAGTTGGAAGCTCCATCTTCCATACTTATAAATAGCTGCCAACAACCCAGCCCAGCAGCTCTCTTTTGCTTCCTCATCGTCTGGACACAGCTCCAAACAGCTTACTCATTATGGATGAGAAATCGGGTCTGCCGCCCTACGTGGCGACGCCCGACGGCTACGCTCCCCTCCCCGCGTCAGGCAGCACGCGCCGCCTCGGCAGCAGTCGTGTCCGCCGCTCTCGCGCCCTCAAGTTCGTCGCCGTCGCCTGCCTCGTCCTCATTGTGCTCTCGCAGTGGAAGCAATCCTGGTACTCTGAGCGCGCAGCACCCAGGCTCTCGGCTGCCCAACTGCGCGCCGACCTCGCAACCTGCCAGAAGCTGCACACGCAGCCGCAGGACCCCATCGGGCTCGGCCGAAAGCGCAACGCCCGCTACGTCGACGGCGGCAAGCCCACGCTCATCAAGAATACCACCATCTGGATCGGCGAGCCGGTCCATGGCACCACCGAGGCTGATGCACGCGCCGGCAAGGGCTGGGAGTGGGTGTCGGGCGACGTCTACCTCGAGTACGGCCTCATCCAGCGCGTCGAGCACGCCATCGCCACCAGCTCCCTCGCCTCGGATACCCTTGTCATCGAGGGTCGCGGTCGCCTCCTCACCAGCGGCATCATTGACATGCACAGCCACGCGGGCGTCGGACCGCTCCCGGGTCTCGACGGTGACGAGGACACCAACGAAATGTCCGACGACATCACGCCATGGGCGCGCTCCATTGACTCCCTCCACCCGGACGATGTTCAGATACAGGTCATCAAGTCGGGCGGCGTCACCACATCGCTGATCCTCCCCGGCTCCGGCAACAACATTGGTGGCGAGGCGTACGTCGTCAAGCACGCAGTGGGCAAGGCAGACGGCCGTGCCGAGACGTCGGCCGCCGACATGCTGGCAGACCCGGAGCGCAACTGGCGCTACATGAAGATGGCGTGCGGCGAAAACGCCAAGCGCGTGCACGGCGGCATCGACAAGTCCCCGTACAGCCGCATGGGTGAGTCGTACCGCTTCCGCCGCGCCTTTGAGACGGCCAGGAAGCTCGTTACAAAACAGGACGACTGGTGCCGCAAGGCAGAGGCCGTCGGCGCCGAGAACATGGACGAGTACCTCCCGCAGGATCTTGAGTGGGAGTCATTGGCGGCTGTGCTGCGCGGTCATGTCCACATCAACACACACTGCTACAAAATTGCCGATCTCGAAGCCATGGTCGACCACAGCAACGAGTTCCAATTCCCCATTCGCGCCTTTCACCACGCTCATCAAACCTATCTCGTTCCCGAAGTAAGACTCCCCAGAAAAGCCCTTGATTCCTACTCCGATGCTAACTCTTCTCAGATTCTAAAGCGCACCTGGGGTGGTCGCGCGCCCGCATCCGCCCTCTTTGCCGACAACATGTTCTACAAGGCCGAAGCCTACGTCGGCTCCGAGCACGCCGGCAAGTACCTCTACGACGAGGGCCTCACGCCCGTCTACGTCTCGGACAACCCCGTGCTCAACGCGCAGCACGTGCTCTTCGAGGCCGCCAAGGGCTACCACTGGGGTCTGCCGTACCACGCTGCCCTCGCCAGCGTCACCTCGGCCCCCGCCGACCTACTAGGCCTCGGGCAGCGCCTTGGCAAGGTTAAGCCCGGCTTCGACGCCGACCTCGCCCTTTGGGACTCGGACCCGCTGAGCATCGGCGCCGCCCCCGTGCAGGTCTGGATTGACGGCGTCGCGCAGTTCGCCGACCCTGTTGAGCTCGTCAAGGACCGCCGCGGCCCGATCCAGCCGGATACGAGCCTCGCCGATCTTCCCCCCGAGGAGCCCGTCGTCGTCGAGTCCGCACTCTTTACCGGCATCACCAAGGTACTGCTCGACATTCCCGAGCACGCCGCCGCCATCGCCGAAGCCGAAGCCGCCGGCACGCCGTTGAGCATCGCCGTCAGCCGCGGCAAAATCTCCTGCGTGGGAACCTGCACCGCCCCCGCCAGCGACACCAAAACGGTCGCGCTCAAGAACGGACATCTCCACAAGGCCTTTACCGCCTACGGCAGCCTCGGCCTCGTCGAGATTTCCTCCGAGGACTCGACCAATAACGGCCGCTCCAAGGCTTTTACACGCGCCGTCGACGGCCTGCAGTTCGGCGGCAAAGTGCTCGGCGTCGCGGGCAAGTACGGCGTCACGCGCGCCGTGTCCCCGCCCCTCAGCGACAGCGGCCCGCTTGGCGTCAGCGCCGCCTTCATCACCACCGCGACAACGAGCGTCGAAGACGGTGCCGTATTTGCCGACGACGTGGCCGTCCATTACACCCTTGACTCGGGCATCAAGTCAGCCGGTGCGAGCTACTCCGAGGCCTTTGGCGACCTTCGTCGCAAACTCCTCAAAGCCGCTGCCTCCGCCTCCTCCTCCTCCTCCTCCAAGGACAACGACACAAACGCTTACGAAGATGCTTACCTGCGACGCGTCGTCCTCGGCGAGCTCGTTCTCGCGCTAAAAATCTCCTCCGCCGACGGCATCGCCGCCGCTCTACGCGTCAAGGCCGACGTCGACGCCGCCGCGCCTGCCCCTCTTCGTCTAGCCATCATTGGCGGCGCCGAGTCGTACCTTGTCGCGGAGCAGCTTGCCGCTGCAAAAGTCGGCGTCATCCTGACTCCCCTGCAGCAGCTCGGTACGTCGTGGGACACGCGCCGTGCGCTTGTCGGCGCGCCGCTGCACAACGGCACCGTCGTGGACCGGCTCGTGGCGGCGGGCGTCGTCGTCGCCGCGGGGCTCGACGAGGAGTGGCGCGTGCGCGACATGGCGTTCGAGGCGGGCACGGCGTGGCGCAACAGCGACGGTAAAATCTCGAGGCGCGAGGCGCTGGACATTGTGTCGACGAATGTATACAAGGTTCTGGGTGTGGAGGAGCCAAAAGAGCACAGCGGCGCGCACTGGGTGGTGTCGGAGGGGGATCCCATGGACATTGGGGCGCGTGTTAAAGCCGTGGGAGCTGGACGCGGCCAGGTCTCTGTTTTTTAGACAACCAGTCACATTCTACTCATTCTGAGAGAAAATCTGTTTTGCATCATAATTCAACAATCATCTTGAAAGATTCGGTGTAAAGGGCATCCAACCTCTATTTAAAGGGAAAAAAAGACTGCCGCGAATCACCATACTCTAACAGAATGATTCATAAGCCGTCCAACAATTATTCATATAGAAATATAAAAGGGTAAACAAAAAGACGCATCTTTTTAATCGTTTAATCTGAAGCCTCATGAACATGAATAAGCCGGTGAACAGTTTATTTGACAAGAAAAGCAGCGACTATCCTTGCCAACCGTTCCGAAAAGTATAAGATGAGAAAAATTCGTACAGGAATCGAAAAGGAAAAAGGAAAAGAAAAAACAATGCAAGTCATTGACGCAGGCCGACTGAACCTGCTCGTCGTCAAAGAAACGCCAAAATGCACACAAGACAGCTTTTGAAAAAAAAACAGTACACTGGCATAAATCATTACCAGAGAATAACAAAACGCAAACATGTAAATGTGAGAAACATCATACGTTTTTCGTTACTGCGGCGACCCGTCTGCAGCCGCGTTTGCATTCACGTTGCCATTCTGTGGTCGCGGAAGCATACTCTCGCGGCTCGAACGCGACGCTCGCCCGTGTAGTGAGACGTGGCGCGCGAGGCGGTCCATGATGGGCGTGCTGGTGCCCTCGCGCGTCGACGCGGACCGGTCGAAGAATTTTCTCGTCGGCGCGGCGGGACTCAGTCCTGTTGGCGCGGCGAGACGGGATCCGTGCAGCTCCGAGACGAGGCGGCGGCGCGAGGTGGCCGACGAGACGACCGACGAGGTGTCCTGCCGATCGGGGGTGTCGGCTTCAATGGCGTGCTCATTCGAGGGCTGGTAGGCCATGGTGACGGTGCGGCGCGTGGGCGACCTCGACAGTGGTAGTTGATCCATGTCTTCGGCGGTGCCCCGACGGTTCCGGGTGAAGAAGGTGCTCTTGCGGCCTTCCTCGGGCTCTTCGGTCAAGGCGCGGCGGGTTCTCAAGAGGGCTGACTCTCTGCCGTCTTCCGGCTCTTCTTGGCGGATCTGGCGTGTACGAGACACGAAAAGAGAAGAGTGGCGGCCGAGATTGTTGTCGTTGGACACGGCATTATGAGGGGTAGAATGGAGAGAGACGGGAGGGCCTGACGCATGCAGAAGAGAGTTACGGCGTTCCTCGAATCTGGACATGACCCTCGGGCTCGTGTGCGACAGAGGCGTGCTGCTCTCCACTACGCTAGAGCGTCGAGAAACAGGCAGGGCGCTGCTATGCGACTTGGGCAGCGTCGGCGTCAGAGGCGTGCCTGGCACGAATGCTTGCGCCTGCTGCTGGGTGGTGCCTGCTCGATAGACTGCGTCGTCGCTGAGAGTGATGCAAAGCTCGGTTAGGCTTCGGCACATGCTCTCAGCCTTGCGTCGAAGCTGTCGATCAGTGGTAGTGCTTCCGTTGCCAATTGTGCTGGCGCCGCTCGAGATTGGGCCGTGGCCCATGGCGGCTGACAAGCTCAGCGCATCCTGTGCGGCACAATCCAAAGCGTGATAGACCGCGGGGCTAAGATTCATCTTACAATTGGCCAGTGCATTTTGCAGGATCGGAACGGCGTCTCTTTGCGTGGCGACTGAAGCCGTCTCGTCGGCATGCACGTGAACTTGGCGCTTTGGTGATGACGAGGCTGTCGTAGCAGCGGTATTGGCCGTGACGGGGCGCTCATCTGATAATTTTGCCACGGCAGCACCAGATGTAGGGGGCACCCTTCCTGTGATTTCGAGACGGTTGATCCTCGACTTCAGCTCATCCAGTTCATCCCATACTGTCGAGGGAGCTGTGGTAGACGCGTTAGATTCAGTGCCTTCGACGCCGTTTTGAGTCTCTTGGGCCTGCGGTGGAGGTAGGTCGAAAGACCGGACCAATGGTGACGAGTTGTATGTTTTGGAAAAGTTGTGCACGGGACCGGTCTTGGGAGACTGCCCTCTGCCGGAGATGGGCGGGGTGCTGTCGGTAACAGAAGACCGGCGGCGGGTGTGGCGATAATTATCCGAGTTGTCATGGTAAACCGAACCACGCGAGGAGACGGGCGGTGGGCGGTGGGTTCGGTTCGTGGGGGTGTATTGACTTGCACTCTCTCCAGGATGAGCAGACGCGGCCTTGGCTACGCTGATAGGGCGATATTGCAGGACGCGAGACACCTGGCTGGCCTGGTCATCTTCCAGGTTGCCTAGATACGGGCGTTCTTGCTGGTCAGAGAGTCTACGTCTCAGTTTGGGCGGAGAGACCGGCTGGTAGGAAGCGAAATTTGTAGAAAGCGGCCGACGGTGCCACGAACGGTGGGTGGCAGAGACTGGACTATAGGTGCCGTCGGGCGTTCGACCACTGGCGGTGCGGTTCATGGTATCTTCCCTGGCGAGCCGCAGAAAGACATCGCCAGACTCTTCGCCGTTGGCGCCTTGACGGCCTGAGATGGGTGGCGTCATGAGCCTAGACTGCCTGTCGTAGCGGCCATCAAGTCCGGAGGTGGCAGTGAAGGCAGGGTCTTCTTGGTCGTCGAGGGGAGCGCCAGCACTCTCGTCGAGGTCGTAGGGACGTGGGGTAAAGTTCATGTCGGAGCTTGGAAGGCTTCTGCGAGACCCCGATGAGCGAAATGAGCGAATGGGAGGGACACGAGTGGGCGTCAGGTTTGTAGGCAAGGAGCCGGTCAGCGACAGCCGGTACGAGTGTTGTTGTTGAAAGGAGCGGCGCCGGGGTTCATCGGGAGTCGAGGAGTAGGCGGCTGTCTTGAGAGGCAGAAGCTGTCGGGAGTTGGAGATGAGGCGAGGCTGGTAGTTTTGATAATGTTGCTGGTGGTGCTGGTGGAGGGCGGCGAAGCTGGCGTCGTGCCCACCGATTTCGAGCAAACGGCTGTTGATGGAGGGAGGCGGGCCGGAGGAGGTCGAGACGCCCTTGGCGCTAAAGGAGGCGGGCTCGCGGGAGGATCTTGAAAGGAGGCTCGAGTTGGAAGAGGAGGGAGAGAGACGGTGATCACGGCCGGCCGGCGGCTCAGGATTTGAAGATGTCCGGAGGTAGAGGGTCTGGGGAGGACGGGAGAGGTCGGGACACGGCCCCTGATCCGAGTAGGCTCGCGGACGCGGTCTAACAGCTTTAGGCAGATCAAAGGACACGGCGCGCTGTCGAAAATGGCGGCGATGATGAAAGACAGGCTTAGCGTCGGCAGATGGCGATGGCGCGTAAATGTCTTGCCCGACACTAGAGGGAGGAGAGGAGGAGCCCGGCGGGGGCGAGCTGCTGTGGCCGTCAAACGAGGGAGCTGAATCGTCGGATGAGCGGCGACGGCGGGTGGAGGTCTGAGAGGGAGGACGCGAGGCGCGCTGGGCAGTGGTGGACGGGGCGAGGGAGGATGAGGCTCGCGTCCGGAGGTAGGAGGACCTAGGCTGGCGATGAGGGAGCGGCGAGGGCAGCGAGGGGCTCTGGGGCGCGGTCGAGGTTGAGACGATGGTTGAGACGGTCGAGACGGGGAGACGAGTTTGGACGAGTGCACCGGCTGGCGGACTCGACGAGACCTTTTCAGTGGTCTGTTTATTGAAGGTTGCTGTAGCTTCAGTGGTCTCGGTGGTGAAACTCGCTTTGGCTTCAGTGACCTTTTTGGTGGAGCCCCCTGTGGCTTCAGCGGTCGTCTTGGTGAAACCCGCCGTGGCTCTGGCGGTTTCGGAGGCTTCGGGGGAGCTGACGCTGCCATGGCGACCAGCTGGGAGCGCTGAGGCTCCCGTCATCTGCCCTGGACGGACTGTAAGCCCCTCCTCCTGCTTGCCCTGCCCAGTGCCTTGTAGCCCTGGGGCCGGTTCCTGACGGCCTTGACCAGTTCGAGTGCCGCCTGGGCCCCCTCTGGGCCCCGCTGCTCGCCCAACCGTTTCTGTCATGGATGCGGATATGGAGATAATTCGTACCCGCTTTCCACAAAACAAGAGGCCGCTCAAAACGTAACAATCGTGCGAGTAAGAATGTCGAGCTGCTGATTCTCGCTTCTTCGTCCTTGGCGTGGCTCCTGCCGAGTTTTGACTTGACCTCTCCGAATTCAAGAATCCGAAAAAAGCAAGGCTGGCGAGTCAAGCGAGTCAAGCGAGTCTCGCTGGCGGCGCCGTACTTGCTCACTTGCTTTTTGTCGTGAGTGCGGGGAAGACCAGGCGATCACGGATCAGTACCTAGCAAAAACTTGCGCGCTTGCGACTCAGCACCCCTGATGATAAACGTATCGCAAGTCGAAGGCTCAGTGGCCACAAGAAACACACAAGGTTAGCCAAAGCGCCAGGCAGCGTATCGCCGTATCGTCAGGCCTCGGAGCAAGCGCGAACGAATCCTCGTGGGCGATTGACCTCAATATTGAATCAGGCTCGGGCTCCGTTGGGCGCACAATCGAGGATAGGTGTTGTTATCGACTCGTGCAGTGCCGGGCATGCGCGTCGACGTAATCCCCAGGTGCTGATGCCTGTATGCATGCGCGGCGCGGGCTGGCTGCCGTCGTCGAATTGAAGTTGCCGCAGGCTTGTCGTGTCGTGCAAGACGTGCTGCCGCGTATAACGAGGCAATATAGAATCGAAACGAGCGAGAGGCACACAAGGCCACAGGGAATAAGAAATCAGACAAAAGAAAGACGAAAAATTAAGGTCCGAGGAGAATTGGCAAAGTGAGCGAGGAGGGGAATGCCTCCTCCTATTCAGCAGCTGTGGCCAGACCAAGCCAGCTCCGATCTAGCCAGGGGCCAAGCTACCGAGCACCAGCATCACGAATTCTCGCAGGTCTCCTCTTCTTTTTTTGGTCTTTGTTCTCCGCAGTGGCGCAACACCCAACGTTCTGTCCAAAGAGATGAGCCGTCTTGTGCCAGCTTGTAGTGCCCTGCAAGCGCCTCGCATTGTTCACAAAACGAGGCGCCCGCCAACTTGAACGCAGTAAGACACATTCACAGGGCCCCCTGGTCCTCTTTGATCTTCTTTTTTTCCTTCAAGAACCGAGACATTCTCTCCAGAGTGCTATTCTACTTTACAACGACAGCTCACTGATGAAATCAACCGGCGACTCATGACGAGCAACGCTGCCTCGGCGCTGTGATGTGATGGGTGATGACCTTGCAGCGTACAGCAGACACTTAATATGGGAGTCGGGTTCAAAGCTCCGCAAGACAGAGAGCGCCTTATCAAGATTGGGAACGAAGAAGAAAAAGCAAGCAATAACGCAAATAAACTCGAGCAGAGCCATACTCAAGCCTCATTAGCTCCATGCAATGATGGGTCGGCTGCCATGCAAGTTGCAGTCCATGCCAATGTGCAACGACACTATTCACCTGCCGGCATCAAGCCAGGTTCTCGGACTTGCGGTCCTGCATGAGGCTATCAATGACTCTCCACAACACATAATGTCGAAGACAAGCATCAAAAACACAGAGTCGTTGCATTAGAGTAACTCTCTTTGTGATATTGTGATAAGACTGGCAAGAGAGAAATTGGTGTTATTCAACCACCGGCATGCTGTCAGTTTCTTTGCCATGCTCAGAAACATTCAGACACACAGCTGCATTGTTCCTCGCGGCTGTCAAACTGGCAACTACCCACTGGGTGGGTTGCATAGAGCGATCGCTGCCGACGAAGCCAGCTCATGGCTCCAAGGCTACTGATTGGCAGTGATAGTTAGAACTTGGGTATCAGAGCCCTGGCCTGTGCACACTTCTGGATTGTTCTGGGTCGATCAAACAAAGGACCGGGCCAGGTTCCCGTTCTCCCTTTCCAGATGTCCCTACCACCGGGAATGAGGACGGGGAACAGCTCTCAGCATTCAATGTCATTGCAAACATGTCCGCTGCAGAGGATTATACAAGTTGCGCCACCATGCATGTGCAGTTGAGCCACCGCCGCCAACGACAGCATGACATGGGAAAGTCTCAGTGTTGCAATGTCCTTTTCTTGTTTGTCGATTCTTTGTTCCACTCTGCGCAAAACGCTCATTTCCACGGACCACATACGCACTCCATATTCGTGCATATTGCTGGTCTTGCACTGCCCATCTATCCTACTTATATATTGCCCATTTATCTTGCATCCTGTGGCAAGTGATGATTGCAACCTCGAGAGAGGCAGAGCCCTAGTTATTAGCAATATACCAATGGCCGGAGTCTGAAACGGCCAACCCATGCCGGGTGCCTGGTAAAATGGAGCAAATCCAGCACGCTGGCAAGCCCATCCATCTCTACGTTAGCTCGTTCGCCAACAAGTGGGCAAGTGGGCTGGATAGCGTCGCTCGCTTGCTCAAGTTGCCCACTTGCCCACCTAGTTATGTTCGCAGATGATGCAGGTCATAAGGGGGTTTTGTTGGGGCAAGCTTTTTTTTTTTTTTTTCGCGAGTGAGAGAGAGCAAAATGCCCCGGCATATCACAAGAAAACTGGGCATGCGCGCAATGATGGGAAAGAAAAGTGCTAGTCAGATGGAGCTGCCAACGTTTTTCTGTTTCGACGTGCATTTGAACGGTCCAGGGGTCCCTCTGCGAAGCGAACGAGATCAACACCCAGCATGTGCGTGAAGCTGCATGGAGTAAATGGCGCATATGCGGGCCTAAAGGATATTCACCTTCCCTGCCCCAATTCGTACTCGACAGTGGCTCTTATCGTGTAAATGGGAGGGGAAAGGGGGGGATGCATGTTGGTGGATATGAGTTTTAATGATGTTATCAACAGATGAAGCTGCGTAGCCTCGTCATCTCCATGTGTAGATTTTTAGAGAGAGTCGCAATTAGCAGGCAAGTTAATGGAATAACGAGCTGGCATCTTCGAAAGCTACTGCATGCATCTCGCATCACCATCAAGACCAGAACCAGAACGGCTCAATTGCCCAGTGTTGGACGTTGTGTAATTCACACCATATAGATTGAACTGCTTCTTCGTTCGCTCCCTACTTTTTCTCTTGCTAAATTGTCAATGTCTCCTATTTACTAACCCGATTCTAGCTCGTGTCACATATGCGTCGGTCAATCGGAAGAAGCAGCTTTCGTCACTTTACTGACCAGCCTACCCTACACTGCTTCGTAGCAAAGTTGTGCCAGCGCGCTCACGACACTCGCAAACCAAAACGTGACAACAGCACTCAGCGCGCAAAAGTTCAAGAGAAGGTACTATTGGAGAAAAAAGTCGGTTCTGCTATTCTGAAAGTGCCCCTGTCTGCGCCAATTGTTTGTTGTTCGTCTTGTCACCCGCTGCGATGTGATCTGAGGCCGCCTTTGAGGCCAAGTCGAGAAAATCTCTAGGAATATCGTGTGTTCCCCAGGATACGAAAAGCACAAAGATCGCGGCAGCATGACGGAACAGCCATGTGTCTCGGGTGATCTGCTTAGATACCTAGTAAATGAACTCTTTTTCATTCTGTGACACCTAATCCGTACTATAACAGGCCATACGACATATTGGATCTGCCAATCATGGATATCAAGTGTAGACGGGAGATAGCCACGCTGCACAGGTGTCTCGTTTCGTCTCGCTGCTCGTATAAACGAGACATGAAAAGACAGGGTTTTGCAGCCTTATGGTCTCTCATATCGATGGTCTGCCGCCAGCAATTTCGTAGCGGAACAAGCGCAAGATGCCTTTCCGAATAGCCAACCGTCAGGTCAATGACAGCTACGGAGTACCAAGTAAGTCCTACGAGAATTTCTACATATCTGCTGTACAGTTTCTCCGGGTTGACTTTACATGTACAAATAAGACATGGCCAACGTCGTGACTGACCAAGGGCTCAACCATAACTCACAAGTTGCGCGTCTATGTGTCCTCAAACCCAAAATTCCTCTTTTCCGCAATCTTGAACCTTGCTTTCGGGAATAACCTGCACTCATTGATCGCGGCCTGATGACTTGCCGCGCCGTAAAAGCTGTTGGCACCACGAAGGATTGGCCTAATAACCAGCCAAGTCTGAGCCGAAAAGGAGGTCAACATGTTGCCAGAAGACCGTAGTGAATGAACGAACAAGGTTGATTTTTGTCGAATTCTTGTCGCCAACAGTTTTTTTGCCATTGCCACCAACTACAAACAAGGGGCTGTCATGTCTGGGGCTGCAGTGCCAGTTTCAAAGTGTGCGCGGTCAGAGTTTCGGGTTTTGGGTGAAAGCGGACCGGGGTGGCGTGCAAGGCAAGAGACGACCGAGCGAGGGCAATGAGGATCATTTTACCCACAAGAACCACTCCGTGACCTGATGATATACGTGAGGGCTTTTTTTCTTCAGTCTGGTATGTTTCCTGACCAGGCAGCAGCCAGGGTCTTTCTAATTATTGCATCTTCCTACCAAAGATCGACATGGGAAAATTACAGTACTGTCTTTCTTTGCGGTGGCTGTTCTCCACGGTGCGGCGCGCGCGGTGGCGACGGTGTTGCTCGACGAACCAGTTTCGGATTGACTGAACTTGTACGTCAGCCTGCGACGCATTTAATCTTGCCTCAAACACCCCCGTTGCCTGAAGAAAAAAAATAAAGGATGATACGTGCCACTCTTATGACGATGCACATCCGGCCGCCGCCACTCCTTTATTTCCTTCTTTCCCTTCAGGTTTGACAATCTTGGCTCATTTTTAAACATCCCATTCGGATTATGCCATGGAGATTGCAACCGGGGAGGGGGGAGGGGCGTGGGGGAACAAAGTGCAGAGCATAGTTAGGCTGGGCGGCAAAGAGAGGATGGTGATTGGTATGCGTGCGGGCATCGCCTATATCTGCGAATGTGGTCATAGTCAGTGGTGGTGGACCTGTGGGCAGGTCTCGAAAAGAGGCTCTCTGGGCCAATCAGCCGGCTTCACCAGGCTGGCTGCGTGAAATGGACCGCATACATGCAGTGTGATGAAGATCGCCGCTGAAGATTCCGTCGCTATGAATCTGTTGCTCAATCTGTGCCTCGAGCGTAAGCGTAGATCTCATGAGGCTGGAAGCAGAGTTCATGATTCTCGTGGAAAATGGAATGATGCTTAATCAAGGTTTCGATGGTGGCCACATGTTCATCAGCGCTGATCACAAAAAGGCCATCTATATGACTGGCAACTATGGGATGGACTGGACCTTGAGGCGATTCACTATTATATTGGCCCTCTCTTTTGCCACTGTGGATTGTCCAAGAAAGATGCCTCGACAAATGGCTGTTCTATACTTGGGCTATTACAAAGTATATCGCACAGCCAGGGGCGTGGTACTGGTATGGGGTTATACGGGGAGGGCGATGCGTACGGGGACGGGAGCACCCAGGGTCAAAGCAAACCGGTACATTGCCGATGCATCTGGAGTGTTTGGAGATAGGGTAGACATTATGCTTTCGATACAAGTTTCACCTTGCTTTACAGACGTCGTCGGTTTGCGATCGCAGTCTGTTGCTGTGGTTATGATTGCCGGCGGCGCGTCGTGCGACGGTGGTGGGAGTATCGACGTGCGACGGGAACGGCGTTCCGATCACGCGACTCAAGATGAGAGACGAAAGCGAGGGAATACGAAATCCGTCTCGACCAGTTGCATTTTCAGCTACTGGCGGGGATCGTGGTCACAATAGGCAAGGCCAGACTCGAGTGGAAAAGCTCGAGTCTCGTGAAGGGGACCATTCCGGCCAGCCAGCGCTTACCGGAGAGGGAATGGTACGGAAGATTGAAGTGGAAAAAACCGAGGGGATCGGGATGGGGCTGTTTGAATGAGGACGGGCAATAGAGGCAACGAGCGTGGCGGCGGCAGGAGCATCTGTCCGACTGGACCCCCTGGCAACTTTGTTTGGGCACGCGCGCAGGTGGTACGAGCATATATTTAGCTTCGCGGCGGAAGGATAAATAGTTAGAGAAGAGGCTCTGTTTCGATTGAAGAGGGGTCCGATGCTGTTAAATGAATATATCTACACAGCCAAAGAGAGAAGAGGTTGCTGGGAAAACTAGACACTATATGCTGGATGAAGGGAAAAGCAAATCTGCGATGCATGTGATGATTGCTGTCAGAAAATCCAAGAGTTTGCGACTTGTAGAAGCCTAAATAAGATGATGGACGTGAAAAGGAAAAAAAAAGGCGTAAATGTATCTTTGCTCATTGTCAACCTGCCTTGCGAGAGGATACATTAAAGAGGTACCCTGCTAGTTAGGGGGAGTAGAACAAGGTGTGATTGGCTAGGGGCTTGGCGCTGAGGCGGGGCAGAGGGTTAGTGGCTTGCAGGAAGAGGGGCTTCACGCAGGTGTGGAAGAAATCTATAATTAGCAGCCCACTCACTGCATCTTCTTTTTCTTGCAGAGGGCTGGCTGGCTGACTGACTGGGCCACGGGGGGGCTTTTCTGGGTGGTTGGCGTGTCGGAACAGGGTATAAGGTAGTTCAAAGCTCGGGATTAAAGGGGGTCACTAAAATTTCGATGGGCAATTTTGTCTTCTTGAGCGACGGCTTTGCACTACCTAGTTGCTGCTGTTGAGATATTCTTGTCGGCTGCGTTTGCACGTTTGCGCCGCGACGAACAAGGTAGTCGGCGCGCCAGGGGGGGACGCGAACAAGGCAGAGCAGTCTTTTCTTAGCACAAGGTAGCAACCCCTGCAGAGCTGCGGGTGAGGTTACGATGGGAAAAAAACAAGAACAGGTAGTTGTTATTAGGGTGCTGCACCAGTAATGCACTGTAATTTGACCGAACGGTACCTGGGGTGCGGTGCCCCACTCGCTATTTTGGTCTCGAGCGGTACGGAGTACAAGGGGATACATTGTCCTCCAGAACCATCACAAGTGATGATGATGCCTAATGCCTATGAAGAGAATGCAATGCCATGCCAGTAAGTTGTGGACTGAATGGTATAAGGTCCAGATGATGCCAAGCATGCTCAATTGAATACAAGAGAAAAAGGGCGCAAGATAAAAAAGGGAAAAATAAAAAGAAAAATACGCGCGTTTCAGATGCCGCTGCACGCCCTCCCCCGGAAAACTCATCCCGGTCCTGCGTGCATCAGCGCTTTGCTTGTCTCGACTCTCGACGGACGGCCCCCCGTGCCACCCCCAGCAACCCAGTAATCCAGCAGGCTCTGACAGAGTTGAGAAGTGTGAGAGAAACCAAGCAGCAATGCGCAAATGGCGGGTTCATGATTCTGGTCAAGAATCCTAGCCAGCCATCACTGCGGATTGGTAGATGTATCTCGATGTACCGCCCAGCCACACCAAGCCTCAGGTTGGCGTTACTTCCTGACCGGGTCCCTAGATAGTTACAGGGCCTCGTCTGCTTGTGGTGCCGCCTGTGCCGCCCTGCAGCTCACGAAAAGGGCGCCTGCAGGCTGCAGCAACAGAGCAGTAAAAAAGTGAAAGCAGAGGTAAAGGCCAGTTGATGACTGGTAGACAGTTCAGGTAGACAGTGCACACACCCCCCCTTCCACATCCACTCATCATCCACTCCTCCTCATCCACTCCTCCTCCCACTCCCACTCTCACTCCCACTCCATCTTTCCGCCTCTTCCCTTCCTCTCCTCCCATTATTTTGTCCATCTAGCAAAGGCGTCCAACACTGTCTGTCGACACCCGGATCGGACATTTCCTCCTCTCTTCCTCAATCATCCCTCTCCGGAATATGCGTTGGCAGTAGCGGCCCTTTTTTTCACTTCGTCTTTTCTTCTTCTTCTTCCTCCTCCTCTTCTTCTACTCTCCACTTCTTCTTTTTCCCTTGCGTCTCTGTTTCTCAGCGCTGTTCTCGCCCGTTTACCGTTCGTGTCTCTGGTCTCGCTACCGCATTCGACTCTTCTTTAGCCGCCCGACCGCTTGTCCTGTTTCACTTGACTACCTCTGCATTCCGCTGCGATTCGAATCAGTCACGTCCAGTCTCCCTTGACCACGAGCCCACCCGGTCCAAGCCTGCTTCGCTTTCGCTCACGGCGCCTCTTCAAACACGCTTTCCTCGGGCGTGGGCTTCGAAACCGGCCAACCAACCTCGACCGAAACACCCGTCTTACGACGAGACACGCGCTGCAGCGAGTATCAATTATCGAAATCACTCTCCGCGTCTCCCTTGAAAACTGGTCTACACGTCGCATCGCCATTTGTGCGACGCAGGCATCCGGAAGACTGCCCTATATTGCGCCTCATCGGCCCAAGTCTCGACGACACATCAAGGCTTTTCCGTCGCCAACACTTTCCTTTCACCTTGCTCCGCGCCCTATCGACCGCTGTACTCGGACCCAGCAGGACTGTTTCCCTCCGATCGACGAATCTACGACTAGGGCCAACTACGCTCCTTGACGACAATCTTCGCATCACGCCGTGTAGCAATTGGCCGCCTCGACACTAGACCGCGACTCCTTGAAAGGCTTCCTTGACACATCGCGTCGGCATTTGGTACGAAAACATGCCGTCCGCTGCCGCACGGCGATTATACGAAGATCAAATACCGACTTTCATGTCCGTGTTTGATCTCGACGCTGATACTATTGGTGATTGCGACACCGTGACCGTTCTCGAACCGAAGCTTGTCGGCATGGATTCTAAGACGGTTCTGCCCGCGCCTGGTCAGGATGGCGCCATCCACCAGGACCCAAACCATAAACATAGCGACAGCACATCGACACAAATGTCAGAATCAACTGATTCTTCGCCCACCACCACTTTATCAACTACCGATTCTTCACCTCTGACTGATCGATCGCCATCCTCTTCGCCAGACTCACCCGTCAATTCCAATCTCATACCTCTCAACAACTACCCAAACACCACATTTGGCGCCCTTACCGTGACCGACAGCGCCGGTCTGCTTCCGCCTGCTAACCCCGTCGTACTCAGCCGTCCCATGACTTCGCCCGCGCCACGCCGGCCGCGCAACATGAAGGGACTCTCCATTCTTCCACCCTTGTCTGTCACTTCCATGGCCAAGTCGTCCAACGTCGAGCCAGCTACGCCCTGCTTCATCAAACCCCAAATTATGGCCATGAAGCGCAAGCCCAGCCAGCTTAGCCTGCAAACAAACACGCAGGACCTCGTACGCCCAGTCCTCGAGGTACCACCTTCGCCTGCCATGCCCCCGATTCTTCAGCGCCGTGCGCTCAAGCACTCAACTTCGACACCGCATATGTTGAGCTCAATCAAGACTTCGCTAGGCCCGACCCTCCCACCTCTGCCCTCGTCACGGATGCTCGAACGCAATGAATCTGGACTCTCTGAGGTTCTACGCCCTATGAAGACTGGCATGCGCTCATCGTTTGACGCTGCCATCAGCGAGGAGAGCTCACCCATCAAGCCGCAAATGGCCAATCGTCAAGACTTTGAGCCATATGATGAGAGCATTAACAACGAGGACCAAAAGTCGCCCACATATCCTGACGGTCCTATTGCCATTTACGGAGACGAAGTCTATCTGTACCTTGAACCCACCGCTGAAGAGGCGTCCAAATTTGATGTTGTTTTTAATGTTGCTCGCGAGGTCGAGAATCCATTTGAGGTTCTTGAACGCAAACAGGCCACAGAGAAGGAAACACAGCCTGACTTGAGCCCCATTCCCGACACCGCCGTCACAACTGCCAGCTTTGCTACCGCATTTGAATTTCTACCCGACGAGAATAGCATTGAAACACCCACTACGCCCAAGGCCAATCCTCTCAAGACCCCCGAGTATATTCACATTCCCTGGGACCACAACACGGATATTGCGCCCGACTTGATGCAGCTGTGTGAAACCATTTATGGCTACACCAAGCAGGGTAACAAGGTTCTTATTCACTGCCAGCAGGGTGCGAGTCGCTCTGCAAGCTTAATCATTGCCTATGGCTTATACTTGAACCCCGAACTGAGCGTCAACGATGCCTACTATGCCGCTCAGGCCAAGAGCCGCTGGATCAGCCCCAATATGAAGCTCATGTACTCGCTGCAAGACTTTCAAAAGGAACTGTCCAAGAAAAAGTCGGCGCCGTCGTCCGCTTTTCGACCCCGCACAGGACGCAGCCCCAATAAGCACCGTCTGACATTGTCTGCCGATGCCATTGATGTCTCGCCCAAGGAGCCTTTGTCTGCGCCGTTGCCTAGCGAGGAGGAAAAGTCAAGAGAGGAAATGCTCAAGGATGGCAGTAAGCGTGCTCGAGGGAACTCATCCCCTGGCCTACAGAGTATATCTCCAGGGCCCGCCTCTGCGCCGTTGACCTTTTCTTGGAAGAACATTGAACCCTTTGCCCCGATGGAGGACGATGACACCAACAACATGGTGTTACCAGTGCCCCCAATGCCGACTATTACTGCACCATTGTCCCCGATTCCGCCAATGCCGACCGAGGCGCCGCCACCTATTCCACCACAAGCGCCGCCGCAGCTTGGCCAAGTGCCGCAGCGACCCAAGTCAAGCATGAGCCGGCCGGAGCCCAGCTCCAACAAGAATGCCGCTTCATGGCTTGATGGGTTACAGCCACCCGTTCCTCGACCCCGATCTAGCGTGGGCATGCGCGCGCTTCCATTGCGAAGCTATCAAGACCAGATGCCCTCTGTCCTCGATCCACGCACTCTTTCGACAGCCACGCAAACGCTTGACGTTCCGACAACACCTTACAATGAGCCCTCGGTACTGTCACCCCGCGCCGAGACCATGACGAATCCGGTCCACGACTATGCCGGATTTGCCGGATTTGCCGGGATGCAGTTTTTGGACACGGCAGCCACCCCAGCGCCCGTCAACAGTGGTCTGTTTTCGCCGCGAGGTACAACATTTCCACGCGAAGCGTCGTTTTTCTTTGGCCGGCCTGACCCTACGGCCGACCCGCGCAGCCCGCCGACACGAGGCGAAGCGCCTATTATTCGATCCATTGATGACTTGTTATGAGAAAGATTTTCTTGACGACTCGGGCTATCCGCCCATTATTTATATAAACCGGCCCAGACCACACCACCCGGCAGAAGCAGGACTGCTGGCACATATCCTGTCATGTCCCCCGACATGCTGCCGTTTACATCTTTTCACATCTCCTTCCAATACACTCCTTAATCCAAGCCCCTTTTTGGCACCAACACACTTGCTTTTACATGCATTGGCGTTGTGCGCAGAGCCACATTTTCATCTTTCTAGCAATTGGGAAGTTGTATAATCCTGCGAATACCCCTTCCTCCTCCTCTTCATCTTCCGATTCTTTGGTGGAATCCAGGCACCGGAGTAATGGAACCGGCAAGTTGGCTTTATTGAACCATTTCTGTTTTTGCATACGCTGGATTTCTTTTTTTTTCTCCAGCAAACGACCCCTTTATTATTCTTTGTTGCAGGGGCAAGGAAGAACGCAATCGTTAGATTATTCTTTTTCATCATGTGAAAACTTTTACATTTCTGTCGCTTCTTCTCACTGGTGGTGTGGTAATACAGGATTAGGGGAGCATTCTGTTGATTCTTTCTTTTTTTGGTCCTTTTGGCGTGGCTCCATTTGCCCTCGGGGGGTTTTTCTCCTTTGCGAATTAAAATTCACTTGTTTTTATTTGTTAGTTATGATGACGGCAGGGCGAGAAAGACGGGGTCAAACACGGTATACACCTGGAAATAAAAACGATTACCATAATGTTCATACTTGAGCTGTGAAAATGGTAATGTTGAATGCTTGAGTTGTAACTCTATTGAAACTAAAGATGAAGATATGCATACCTTTACAGCAGAAGCGCGTTATATGTATCTGGAATGACAGCTGCCATGTCGTGCAACGAATCAATGTTTTATCCCTTGAACATGTACAATGCCACCCACTCACTCCCCATCCCTCTCCTCTTCCTTTTGTCAAACCTTCTCTTATTACCCCGACTTCTCCTTCTTGGCCTTTTCCTTGGCCATCTTCTCCCTCCTCGCAATCCCCGCCTCCACACCAATACCCCCAAACACCAGTCCCACGCCCAACCACTGCATCCTCGTTAGTCTGTGTCCAAACGCCAACACTGACAACATCATCGTCACCATCTTCCTGGTCACCGTCACCGTCACTAGCAACACCGAGGAAAACGTCGACAACGTATAGACTATATCCCATGATTAGCACAATTTTCTTTTCCATTTTTTTTCTTTTAGCTCGCTTCGCTCGACGTTGGCCATAAAAGCCACATCTGTAGCCTTTCCTACCCACCACACCCCTCCGCAGGACACACACATATCCTCCTCCCTCCCCTTTCCAGCCCACGTCGAGCGAAGCGAGGAAAAAAAAAAAGAAAAAAAAAAGACTTACAGATAAAGACTTGGCCAACGGCACCACACGCCGCAAAACCAAGCACATCCTTCCAAACCGCCGGATACCGCGCCATAAACGCCATCGCATCGCCCAGCTCCCCCGCGTCACCCTTACCCAGCCCCAACCACTCCCCCGCGCCCGTCGCCCCCAGCACCGCCGGCCCGACAAGCAGGTACGCGCCCGTCACCAGCGAGCTCATGACATTATTCGCGCACATCATCTGCGGACCCGAGTACGGCTGAAACGCGCTGAATATATAGTCCTGCGTGCTGTTGGTCAGCCCGTCAAAGAGCAGGTTGATGCCCAGCAGCAGCATCCCCCAGCCCACGCGCGCATCGTCCCCGAGCCTGCTTGCCTGCTTCTTCTTCTTGCTTCCCGAGTGCAGCGTAAACACCGCCACGCCCGCCGTCACCGCCGCCACCACCAGGTACTTGTACAGCGGGTATCGTTTCCGAAACACGGTAATGTGCAGCAGCATCACCGGCAGCAGCTTGCAGCTCTTGGCCAGCAAAAATGTAATGTAGTCAATGTGCGCGAGGCTCGCGTAGCCAAACGGCGACGCCAGGCTCGACGTCACCGCCACGAGCGCCAGCGGCGCGAGTATCCGCGACGACGGGATGATCGGCGGCACGGCGGCGCCCCGCGGCGTCGAGAGAACGAGGTACAGGCTGCCCACGGCTGCCGCAAACAGCGACTGGATCGTGTTGAGGAATACCGGAAAGTGCCAGACTTCCTGCGCCGGGCCGTGGCGCGTCGTCGTGAGCTTCTCCTGGAGGTACGCCCACGTCAAGCTGTTTCCCAGCAACACACACAGTAGCTCAATCAGCAACCAAATATTCCGTGAATGGTGAAAAAAAAAAAGCACGAGGTAAAGGGTCAAAAGACGTACAAGGAGGCGTAAATGCCCGAGACGGCAATGACGAGCTGCATGATCCCCGCGTCCGCCTTTGCCGGTGCAGACTTGACGACCACAGACCCATTGGTCTTGGGCTTTCCATCGGAAGTCTCCCACTCGGCCGTTTCCTTGTTAAAGTATTCGGACGACGCCTGCCGCTTGCTGGGCACTTGTTTCGTACGCGCCATCGCTGCGTTTTTTGGACGAACCGATTCGAGACAAGGGGGTGTGGTGACGCTGTCGCAATACAAGTCAATGAGCGAGGTCGAAAAGAAGGAGAGAAAGAGATAAAGGAAAAGAAACAAAAGAGAGAGCGCTTCGGCCAAAAAACTTGGCAGAGCGCAGACAATTATGTGCTGTGTCAGGTAATGGTCGCGCAAACTGGACAAGTTGGCTTCATGGCTAGCTCAAGCCGATGGACCCTGCAACTGGTGGGGCCTGGGATAGCGAATGCCGCGACGCCACAGGCACCGGCGACTGCAAGGTGAAAGTGCCACTACGCTGTTAACAATCTAGGTATCGAGACAGTGCCGACTTCGTCTAGTTATTTCATTCACATGAGAATAATATAGAAATGAGACAAGTAGCAATATATTTCATCTCGGCCAGAGGCTAAATACAAGTAATTACCCCGTGGCCCGATGCCCAATCAAAAAGACAATGCCATGCAAGCGGCAGAGGGGTATAAGCAGAGATGAACAATGAATCGCCGGCCCGAGTGGGCTCAAACTAAGTTTTTTGTTTTGTAAAGCAAAGCAAGTCGTGCGTCAGGACAGAAGAGAGGGGAGGGCATGGTGATTCCAGAGGGCACGCAGTGCGCGCCTTGTCGAGGTAGGGGCGGAGGTATAGAGTGTCCCAGGGTGACAACGTCGTGGTATCAGCATAAGTCATGGAGCTGGCAGACCTGCTCCGAATAATGAAACGAAAAAAGAGATGCGAGCCTGCATAGCTAAAGTTTATACAGTGGAAATCGTCGATGAGAGGCGGATAATGTTCAATGTGTCGTGGAGGCGGGAAGGAGAGTAGGTGAATCGACATGATGAGTTGAAGCAGAGTGTTGAATTCGAATCCCAATCGCAAGCAGAAACAAATGAAGCAAAGAATGATAACCTGGCTCGGCTCACTGCTGTAATGAAAGTGCTCTCGCCGTGGTTCAAGCTGTTCCTGCCACCAAGAGAGACAAATCTCTCAGACAGAAGCTGCCAAAACGCCATTGAAATGAAGCCCATGCATAAGTGGTATAAAACGCAGACAAGAGAGCAGCAGCGCAGCAATCATGCAAACATGCCTACTCGGTGTCCTGGAGCTGGCTCCGGCGCATCTTTTCAGCTTCGAGGTTTTCGTACAAGAGGAAGAGTGCCGATTCGTTGGCCTTGGCGGTACCCATAATGGTAAACATGCGTTCGCCGGTTTCATCATGGGGGGCCTAACAAGTTAGCTGGGTTCTCTATTCTTCTGACTGTGCTCTTGACACACCTTGGCAATGGAAATGCGAGCGCCGGACGTCTTGCGAATCTCGGATATCTTGCTACCGGCACGGCCAATGATGCATCCGACCATGTCCGCGGGGATAGAGATGTTTTGGGTCTGAATCTCCTCGCCATTCTCGTCGTGGGTGGGAGGGCCGCGTGAGGCGGCATCCGAGTCGGAACGACGAGAAAAGGGGCGAGTGCCACCACCACCGTTGCTAAAGTCGGAGCCGTTGCCGGTGCGCATGACACGAGGGCTGCTGTATTCGGCGCGGCCGTTGCCAGTGGCGCCAAAGCTACCGGTGCTACCGGTGCCGCCTGTGGTGCCGGGTTGGGTGCGGACAACTGGGTTGTACAAGACGGTGCCAGTGCCGCGCTGCCAGTCATCGACGAGACACTTGCAAATCTCCCAGAGAGCGCGCTGAATGCCTTCGGGTGTGCCCTGAACTTCAACAATTCGCTCGGTTGACTGAGGAAGCATTTCCTTTTGAGCAACCATGCGGACTCCAGATACGTCCTGAATATGCTTGATTTTGAGGCCTTGACGGCCAATGACGGTGCCCATCTGGTTGTGCGAGATCAGCAGTTTGATTGCTGGGATGGATTAGTGAAAATGAATTGACCGATCTCTTTAGGGCTGAATACGCACGATGAGTCCCGTTGCCTTGGAGAATGCCGCCCATGCCCATGGCGGGAGCACCCTCCAGAAGCGCACGTGCGACAATTGCATATGCGCGAGAAATGGCATCACAGCCTCCTGTGATGGTGAGGACACGGTCATGCACACCCTGGACAACCTTGGAGACGCCGGCCTTCACACCGGTCTCGTCGCGGAGGTCGGCGACATTCTTGCCGCCCTTGCCGATGATGACACCGGCTTCCTTGGAAGAGACAATGGCGCGGAGGGTGAGCTGGGCCTGAGCATACTCCTCGTCCGTCTTAGGGGCGGGTTCGCCGTCGGGTCCGAGGCGGTCCTCTATCTTGAGGTGATCCATGGAGTCCAAGAGCTCGTTGGAGCCGTTGGAGTGGATGTCCTGAGTAGACATGGTGGATGGGTTTAGAGATGACGAAAGGGAACGAAAGCTCGGAGCGGGGGGGAAGATCGAGAGTGACAGGATGCTGCAGAAGAAAAGATTAGCGTCGTGAGAAAATGAGCATCAAAACAAACAAAGTAAGGGTGAAAAGCCCCAATGCCAAGAAGCGTCGACGTTGAGCACGTGTGGCTTGAGGCCGGGTCGTGCTAGCAGCAGCGCAGACCGGGGCATTCGCCAGCAAGCAAACAGCATCAACATACCTGTATCCTGTATCAAAGTCAAAGTGGAAAGTGGATGAGGGTGGCAAGAGGAGCTCAACAAAGGTCAATGGCCGGTGAAGACGTGAAGTATGTGAGGGTCGACGTGGGATGAGCGCGACGACGTTGGCGGGGTCGAGGGGAGATGGGGGAGGCGGGGAGAGAAAAAGGGCGTTGAGTTGCGGTAGAAGGCAAATGCGAGCTGAGAGGTGTCGAGATTGAAGGCGGGAGGAGGAAAGGCTAGTCGGAGAGGAGATGGAGGAGGAGGAGGAGGTGCTTAGGCGAGGTGTTGGAGAGGCGGGAGGAAGAAGGTGATGTTGGCGTAGCAGGAGTGGTGGAGGGCGAAAAAAAAAAGGTTGGTGGAGGTGACAAGGTAAGAGGAGAGGAGGAGAGATGAAGGAGAAGAAACGGCAGGACGTGGCGGGAGGAAAGGCTTGCCTTGGCCCTCGACTTGGGGGAGAAAGCCCTGCAACGACGCGAAGTGGCCGCTGGAAAACTGCCTGAGCCCACCAAAATACCGCGAACCAGTAACATCGCAGTGGCCAAGGACCCCTCAACAACGCCAGGCGGGGTTTGCGAAATGGTCGAGTCAGTACGTGGTCTGTACCCGTCTCAACGACTGCGACAGCGGAGTAGACAAGTTTCTGGCAGGTACCATCGAGACAACAACAATGCTACACGCTACTGTAACCAGTGATGTTCAAGACAACGTGAGGGTGAATTTGTTATTTTATTTTAGATGTCAAGGTATCCGGCTCAATTACCATCAGTACACCACCAACTTAACCCTTCATCTGTGCTACTTTTTTATCCCCATATTAAAACTACTCACTCACAGTCTGCAATGCGCCCCCCCTCGCGTCCTCTCCCGCGTCGTGTAGTGGGACCCGTTTGCCGTCGTCCCTGGTTCCTTCATGGTGCGGGGGGTTGCCATGAGGCGTGAGCTCATTATAAGTGACTTTGAGATGCGACGAGATGCGACGAGCCAATTTGCCAATTCAACACCCATGGCGTGGGTGTGCAGCGGTTTCATGAGACCATGGCATGACGTCGATGCATGGCGAAACACGAACACGCTTTGTGCCGCATCCCTTTTCACAATTGCTTCCCCGCTTCGCGCTATAACTTGTGCGAAAAGAGATCCATTACCGTTATGATATTACCGGAAAATAATATCACTGGAGAATATTGACATTGGCATTGGGGCTTAGTTTGGCTTTGAATTAATCTTTTGGAACTTTATGCTTATATCTTCTATTGTCCTGGTCGAGAGACTAATTATTGGTATTGCCCCTCCCTTTTCTCCCGAGGAACCAACTCGCACCAACACCACACCTAGACCTATCTAAACCCATATTCAGCGCTGCCGCAGTTTCTTCTCATGCTCTATCCAGAAATTCTTACACGCCCGGTGCCCCCAGTGCTCTGTCCACCACTCGCCAAAGCTGTCTTCCACATCAAAGTCCACTTTGGCTATGCGCTCATCACGCTTCAGCCCGCAAATCACGCAAGCTTTGGGCGCTGTGCCCACCATCTTGGCTGTGTGCGCTGACAGCGTCTCGCTCAGCTCTGGAATTCTGAGGTTGGCGTGGGCCGCCGCGTTTGCCACTGTCACTGCCGACCGCAGCCGTCCGACCTGCTCACGCCACACGGCCACCACGTCGGCCGCTTCGCGGTCCTCACGCGCCACTTGTGTCTTGTCCACGCCCGCCAACTTCATGCCTTTGCTGCCAGCCGCCGAGATGGACATGCTCTTGGCCAGGATCTTGTCGCGGTGCCATCGGTGTTTGCGGCCGGCCATGATGCGAGCCGCCGTCGTCGCTAATAATATGTACCCCTGCAGAAACTGGGTCGCTTTAGGATCGGACAAAATCTGCTCTTTTACACTGCCACTTTGTCCGGACATCGTCTTGAAAAGTGTGCCACCGGAGCGTAACAGATCAGGGAAGAGCGAAAGAAGAATCGATGGAGGTGGCACATTGACGGGGGGCGGGGTGCTATCTGAGGATGTGATTGTGTTCTCTGCCGGGTTTTCTATAGAGTCCCAATCCCATGACGATGTAACTGGTGCTGTGTCGCTCGCGGCGGCGTTGGTATTGCCACCGCTATTCAAAGAATCGTCCCAAGCGGCCCATTCGTCGTCGTTGCTTGAGGTCGCCCAGACGTTGGAAGACTTTGACGTTGCCGCCTGCATTGTATTTTGCGTCTTTAGTTGTGGCTTGTGCTGCACCTTTGTTGGCATTGTATGTTTCTCGAATGTCGTAAAGTCTAAATCTTGCGCCCAAGATCTCTTAGGCTCTGAATTAGCCAGCACAGAAGCTCCAAAGCGCAATGCGCCAGTAGAATCTAAATGACCAGACTTTGACGATGGACTCTGCTGCACAGGTATAGGGTCGTCCAACGATAGCAGATCCATTGATGGCATAGAAGGCTGCGGCGGTACTTGGGCGGGTGCTGAGGTCACCTCGGCTGTGATATTGTTTGGAGAATCTTCCTGTTTGACTGTTTCAAAATCGCCAAATTCGTTGTCGCTCTCGCCTTCGAATTCTCCGTCTTCCAATTCAAAGTCATCGGCATTAAACAGGACGCCGGGATCAGTGGCCTGCCACTGTACTGGATTCTTCCGTTTGGACTTTGGCAATGACCACACATCCTCCACTTCATGGTGTTGGTGTTGCTTCTGTTCTTTCTGATCCTGCACATGGTGAAGCTGTGAGTGTGTGTCGCCGCCACCATATCTATCCGATGTCAACGGCATACTAGCCGTTTGAGCAGCTTCAATCCCAGGCCAGGCTATCGTCTGCGAAGATGGTTGCTGGTACGTTGGCACTGTACCACCCGACTTGGAAGCAACCGGCTCTGCTACCTCAAAGTCACCCCACCCGTCGTCATCGTCGGCGGCATTCTGTGATTGCGCTGCTGCTGCTGCTGCTGGCTGTGACGGAAAAGACGACCATTGCTGTTGTGAATGCGCAAATTGTGACGGTAAGCCGCTGCTGGAATCTTTTTTATCACTGCTCCCGAAATCTACCCAATGCTGCGGCGCTGGACTGCCTACTGCGCTTTGATAGGATGACGACTGAACCGTTTGCGTGGTCGGATTCGGCTCAACACTCTGTTGGCTAAACTCGGCAAACAGATCCGCCGACATTACAACGCAAAGTATCCCAGGTATACAATGGCCGCTGAAATTAATTGAGCAGGAAACGAGACTCGTAATATCGCATGCTAGGAGATGTCGGTCGTAAGTCGCGGCGCCTAAGGAGGCTGAAGTTGATACACCAGTGCATTAATAATATGGGGCGAAAAACAAGCCACATTATGTGTCTCGCTTCGCTGGGAAGAACGAGTCACAACTTTCAAGAGGAATCTCACGACGCACCTTATGTTTGAAACGATGCCTCGCGCACCAGACGAATCGGCCGCGTGAGCACGGAGCATTTCGCAAACCTTGCACATCGACGGGCAGAAGTCCGGGCCGGGTTTTCAAACGTCTGTTGGTACTGTTGCTTTTAGAGGAGTTGAAAGATCTAAATCACAGCGAAATCACTGGTGGGAGACGACGAAAAATGTGACATGTTCGTAGCCTACAACCTCAGAATACGGGAATCACTATTTGCTCACGGTCACCTCAACCTCAATTGTGTCCTCTAGCTCTGGGTAGTGACGGTAGAGTCCATCGGCGTACTTGGCGCGTCTATCACTCGCCAGGTATGATTTAATGTTTGGCCGCTCCTTGACAGCCTCGTAGAGCTTGAAGACGCCGTCGTATTTGCCCGAACTCTTGAGCTGCGCCATCGTTTTGGGAAATGCGTACGATGTACCGTCGATGCACTGTCCCTATTAGCGACGTCCTACAAATTCCCCGGTATTATATACCTGAAAGAGAACAAGGTCGACATATGTCACGCGGTCGCCATGAAGCCATGGACCATCTCCGCTCGTCTTGGAATCAAGGAGCCTCTGTACGTAAGCGAGAAACTTGGGCGCACGCTCCTCGATGAAAGCTTTGGAGCGCTTCTTGGCTTCTTCCTTTTGGTCTTCATAGTACATTGAGACGGCGATGGGATGATGCGTCTCGTGAACCTCGTTGGAAAAGCCATCCAGGATGGTCAGGGCGGCCTGGTTGAGATGGTAAAAGGCCGTCTCGGTCGCCGGCGGCGACAACCCGAGCTTGGGTGCCAGGTAGATGAGAATATTGGGCGTCTGGCTGAGAATGACATTGCCGTGCTTGAGCGCCGGCGGCGCGAGGATTGGCGGGTTGCTATCGTCGCCAACATTCTTCAGGTCAGTGAGGGCGAGCACCTTGGCGACAGCTTGGTCTGGGGTGCGCGCATGGTCCTTGTACGGCACGCCGGCCTCTTCAAACAGCAACCTCACAAATTCGCCACGGCCAGGTATGCCGGGCCAGTATATCAATTCGTATTCGGCATCATCGCCAGTTTTGAGGGTTTTGGTATTGATTTCTGCCATTTTCGCGACTATGCTGACGACGTAAGAGTAGATGCTGGTGCGGAAACCAGTGTTGAAACTTCCGCGGATGCAGCGGGGAAGCGACATGAATAAGACATATTCTTCAGTGGAGGAGGAGGAGATTCTAAGCCACTTGCGAGCTTCTCAACCAATCATAGAGGATGAAAATCGCAGGACAGTTACACGGTAATAATATCTGTATTATGCCCACGCCTGAGTATTTAGTTGATGAAAAAGAACTCGGGCAATACATCCCTGGGTATGGGAGGAGGCAAACAGCCTATGTAGCATTCAGGTATAGATTTACCGTGGGGCTAATACCTGTGTTCAGCGCCAGGATGACACGGTGATGGCATAACCATATGACTGCTCAAAATATAGTTTCCCCTATCATTGAAGCAAGCTATGTTGATTTTAGACGAATCGATAACTGCAGAAGAAGGTCATTCTACAACCGTCACCCACGAAGACAAAGCAGTCCCTGCCACCAGGTACTTACAGCACACCTCAGCCTTAGCCCCGCATTCCACCACGGGCATCGTCATGCATCACGGGCACATATTTTTGGCAGCGCGCTTGGACGCTGGTGGCTGCCCGAAGAGCCAGTCATGTCTGGTCCAAGCCAATTAATCCAGTCACTTTCCTGTAGCCACGACCAAGACGAGTCGGCGCTACCAACCAACGCTCCAACAAGCGTCTGTGAACGCTATACTCTCTCCCTTCATCGGGCTCATGCATGTCTCGCACCGCTACCCGACAGTGAAGATGTGAATGAGGGGCTGCTATAATTTCCGCTCATCTCGCCCGATGAAAGTCTTTGGCCTCAATATTTGCGATTGCCTGAAGCGAATTTCTTCCTCCCACGAAGGCTTACATGTACGTCATGACGGAGCTTTGTGGTTCTTACAACCGAGGCAGGCAGTTGACCCTGAGTACGATGGCATCACTAAGAATATATTCAATTCTTGGCATGTCCCATAAGAATGACAATGTGTTGGTTCGAGGCCAAGTCTCCACTGCCATCTCGCCTCATCATTTTGGGCTGGACAGTCTGGCAACCGTTCATGGCAGTAATTATAAACTCTCCGAGAACAATGTACTTCTGAGCATTGAAAGTACACACACCCCTGGAAAATTATGAGAGATGAGCCGTCTTCTCTAGGACCGGGTTTAGAATAATAGTGCATTATTTGATCGATTCGAGCCAAATTATAATAGAAGAATCAATGTAAATGACAAGAGTTTAAAAAATTATCTGATCCTCTCAGTAGACCACTATTCTTCTTCTTTACCACCCAATCCCTTGTAGATGGCGACATGCGCGAGGCGGTGTCCCTCTCGGAGCTGGCTGTTCTGGGCAGCGGGAATCTCCTTCAGCGCGCTGGGCGGGTTCGTGGTCCATCGGAAGTGATCCGGGAGGACCTGCATGTCAGCCAGGACGCCGCCCGTGCCGCCAGAGTTCGGGGGGTAGTTGTCGCCGTTGGTGTGGCCGCCAATGTTTCCGAGCAGGCTCGTGAGACCGCTGAGCAGGCTGCCGCCTTGCTGTGCCTGACCTATTTGTTCGCCAAGAATTTTGTAAGAAACTTGTTCTAAAAAGTTTTTTTTTCCTCTTTTCCGATGAGAGCAGTCGGGTGTGGTGTAAAAATCACTTACGCTTGTCGACAGGCGCAGCCGAGGCGACAGCGGCGAGGACCGAAACCGCGGTAATGGAGAAACGCATTATGAAAGGTATGATTATATAGTTGGCGAAGAGAAAAAAAAAAGTTTTTGTAAAGAGTGGCAATGAATAGCTGGCTTAAAGAGAGTCTGCAGAGCCTGATGAAAAAGGCTGCGAGCGCATCGCGCAGTCTTTATACCGGGACGGACTCGCCGCGCCAGTCTTGGCCAAAAGTGTTTCTTGATGTACCGTGCGTCATACGAATAGGCCCCTTCGTCTACTCTAGTCAAACTCGGTGACCAAGTAGTAGCTGAACGTCTGTGGCGGTTCACCGTTTCAGGGCGCAAGTCGTCGACGTGAATAGTGGGAGCCAGCGTCCAAGCCCGCGTCTGTGCGGCTGGGGCATGAACCAGAGCTCCCCCTCTTATAATAGATCCAAGAAGCTCCGTGCATGTTTCGTTTGCCCATGCACAGCGGAAAGGGGCGAGAGAGGGGTATTAAATAGTACACATGCCGAGGCGTTCGTTTACATCGGGACGATATGGTGATCAGCCTGGTGGAATGAGAAACATTGCAGCATATTATCGTCGAGCAGATGAGGTGATCATTTGTATTTGCCTTGCTTCTCATAAACTTTCTAGAATTTGCTTCAATCATGTAGCTTGATTTGATCTCGTAGTTTGCTTTAATCTCGTTTCTACGTCTTTGCAATGCCTGCGCAAATCAGACGCCGCCATGTCTGCCAGAGCTTTCTCGTTCACAACCGCATACGTCAAGGGTTTGGCCAGCCGTTGAAGATCCTATATTCAATATGCCAAGTGTTCCTGAGATCTACGATATATATGGATCATTCAAGGATCTGCACCACTGATTAGGATGACGTTTCGGCCGAAGTGTCATCTCGTCGGAACTTACTTGAGATTCTTGGCGTGTGGAGAGGCTAGCAGCATGTCGAGAAACTTGCTCACTCGTGCTCAATTAGATTGCGGCTTCTCTTCAATATTGGTGTAAGAAGTCGCGATTCGTCGCTAGAAAGAAAAAGGCTCCAAAGCTGCCTTGACGCCGCTGTTCGTCCCGTTACCTGCTACTGCTCCTGATGGCGGTGATGGCAATCCAAGCGGCGAATAGTCAAAGTTGTCACAATCAGTAGAGTTTTTTTTTTTGGAGTATTTCCAGCTCCTAGATTTCGTCTGAATGATGCTTTAGCTGTCCCCAATCACGTCCCATTTGCGATTGTACGCGGCTTTGAGCGCGCCGTAGAAGAATTCATCGCCGCAGACATTCGGTGCCCTATCAAGGTGCTTAGACTTGCAGCTTATGGTCTCACAATATGTTGATGGCTGCGATTAAGACCCCTTTGCAATAAGAGCAAGTTGCCAACCCAGACCACAGTCCAGTGATATGCCGAGCTGGTAAATCTAGCAATCAGGGAGGCATCACTTGACAGGGCTACGACAGCCCCGGTAGGTGTGGTGAGTAACGGGCGGAAAGGGCGTAGAATTGCAATAGCTGCAGAGTTCAATAAATCAGTCAACTGGCCACCACCATCCTTCTTGAGAGGAAGCACATTGCGGAAAGCAGTGTCAGTGTGTGATTCGAATGGGGGTCGCGTGGTCTGCACTGGAGTAGAGCAAGTCCGTAGTCCACAATCGATTCGACGTTGGTGTAGTTTGCGATTATAATCGCATAGTTGGTTCATGACAAATAGAATTGCCCTTTGAAAGATGTTTCTAACAGCGCTGTGCTATTCTTGGCAGAGTCACTGTGTTTGAAGAACGCCAGCGCCTTGGCTTGCCAAACGTCAGTCTGCGCTTGGCTGTCACCATCCGCCGCATTTGCGCATCGCCTCATGAAAAATGCCAGATCTCGCCGAAAGGTTCGCAATAGAATGCAGGACAGTCGGCGCCGAAGCACAGTCGATGTCAAAAGGAATGCGGCCGTTCCCTGGGCCACACTGAGAGTCTCGCCACTGGCCGACGGCCACAGCATCCAGCAAATGTATCAGGTTTGTCGCATTTCGCTCATGTTGGTTCAAGTTGCAATATGGGGATCCAGTTGGGATGTCTTATTTGTATTATTGATTCTTGTTGATTATTCTAGGATTGGTGTTCCATTTTGTACTGTTCAAGGAGGCAGCGCTCCAAGTGTGTGCCCTCAAACACGGCTGCCTCTGACCTCATAAACTACCACAGTGCATGGAAGCGAATCCAGACGGGCAACCTGGTCAGTCAAAGCCTCTACTAGGACGAAACCGTGCATCATTTGGAAGATGAGCTCGTGAACTTTGGTTGAAGAAGGCGGAGCTCTCGCGAAATCTTGGCTGCAACAAGTCGCGCCAGCAATGGCCACCCGGTCACAGAGCAACGGACCTGGCCTCAAACAAGCTTCTAACAAGGCATCGGCGAACGGCAAAGATGACAGTCATTTCATGTTGCCATTGCTAAGTCGCACTGTCATACTTGAGTCGGGTTGCCTTCATGCAAATTGAAAACCATTCTACGGGAGAGACTCGGACTCTAGCGAGCTTGGCGGCCTAACGTATGCCCTTTTCCCTTGCTGTTGACTGCATTGATTTGTTGGCTTACAATATGTAGTCGCAAACATGAGGCTGCACTTGAGCCGATTTTTGGCTCGCAACAAGTCCAGTGTAGGTTCACCAACTGACATGTTGGTCGTGACGCATGTCCCACGCCACTGGCGGAGTGTTGACTTGATGATTGGCCGTGTCGCAGAGGTGATAGATTAATTTTTGATTTTATAAAAAATTTCGATTATCGACTTCAGATAGAGTAAATCTTGTATTGGACATTCATTCTTCCTGTTGCGTAATGTACGGCTATCGTTGCCCAATTTGGGTCGACGCCCGGCACCCGCTCGAGGACCGGCCCGGTCAACCATGATCAGAGCAACGAAAACTGTATGGTCATACACAGTCGGCAGAGGCTTTTTTCGATAGCATTGCATGGAAATTCTGACTGCGGTCGTTTCACCTCTCAGACCGCGCCTCTGCTGACCGGCTTGCTACTTTGACACAATGCCAACTCGGTTCGCTGCACAGTCAGCAGCTACTAATGCATGATTTGCTTTCCAGCGCATGTGAGTATCATAAGCACTTTGCGACACGCACTGGGCTCCCCTTGTTTGTTTTTTCGAAGTTCGATGCACGAGCCAAGTTGTTCGCTTCCGTTCTGGAACCTGGGGTGCATGTTTTCCATGTCAAACACTGTCGGCTCACGAACCACTGAGTGAGGGGCCCCATCGGTTGGTCTCAAATGTTGGGTGGACAGCAAAAGGATAGGTTTACCTTCTGGAAGCTGGCTTATTCAATAGAAGGGTTAAGAAAAGCCAAAGAGAATGAATAAAGGGTAATAAAATCTAGGAGAAGAAGCCAAGAGCGAAATTTTCCAATGCGATTATTCGGAAAAGAAAAAGCCAATCCTCTCAGACTCGCCACGGCGATGCCGTTGCTTCCCGTCACTGCCCGTCTCACAGGGCAATTCTAACCCCAAGATTTGCCCCAGCTTAATTTTGGATGAACGAATTTGGTGGCGGCGCGCTGACGCTGTTGTAACTTGTCCCCCCCATATTACTCCGTGGAACAAGGCTCGGAAAAACGTTACATTGGTAGGGCCGCTAGGTGGCCCGTACGTAACCCCATTGCAAACTGGCTAGGAAAAGCCTATGGGCAAGCAAAAAGCCCATGCTCGCAAGCCCAATAAATAAGTTGGAATGGCGAAAGGGGTGGGGGGTGGTACTGTGACGAGTATATTTGTAAGAGTCAGAGGGCGCCGGAGTGCTTTGCTGAGCCCTACGCTGGGTGCGAGGAGGCGATTTCCGACGTAGCCACTTGGCCAACCAAGCTTCATGTCACATCCAACATGTATGTGGTTGGTTGGCCGATGACCGGGACGAGTGACACGGGGACGTCACCACTTGGCTATGATGTGTCGTCACGAGTGGGCGCGTAGAAACGTCACCAACGCGAATTACAGCTAGACACGACATCACGTTGGGCGTTTTTTTCCTTTTATTCGTCATGAAGATGATGAGTTCCTAGTGAATAATGTGTCTCTGTGATGGTGCAAGATCGACCGTCGTCCCAAGGCAAAAAATGTGCACCTCCGCAAACTCCGTATTGTGTATTACAACGGGCGTTACCTTAATCCAGTCGACGTCTGAGACAGAATGTATGTAGTCCGGCGTTCGGCGCAGGCTCAACTCACACAAAGATACATACCTAGCAAAAGGGGCAAACTTTTCTTGGGCTGGACGAGAGATTGCTTTGGGCTTTTTTTCAGGCTGTTTGTTTTCCGTCCAAGAGGCGCATCCCTATTTATTTTTACTTTTCCCTCATATGCTTCTCTCTTCTCCCTGCCTATGCACCTTTTTTTTTTCTGCGGCCGTATTTTCTTTTGGACTTTTTTTATTTTTGCTGAATGTCTTGCCCTCCCTTTTTATAATCTGTCAGATGGGAGGCGTATTAATGAGATGGAAGTAACGGCAGGTCAAAAGAAAAAAATACTGGCGCTAAAAAGGTACAGCCTACCGTGGACGAAACCCCCCAAGACCCATACTTCCGTAACGAACAAGTAATTCCGGAAAGCCGGGTAAAAAGAACATTTCAGTGCCGCATCCGCCTGCCAGCCGGTTCGCGACTACGTTGATGAAATTTTGATTGCACTTTGATGTTTGTGCTGTTTCATCACACTGCTGGGCAAAGTTCTAGCCCCCCCCCCCCGTCTTATCCTTACCGCCAGAAGCCACTTCCGCCACGTCGGGCCGGCGCACCAGACAAGATGGCGGCCCGTCACTTCACATTATTTTAGTCGGTCACTTTTCCACTTTCCACCCACCCAACCACATCGTCGCAGGGCTCAACCGACTAAATACCGCAGTATCAACTGGTTGGGCGCTGAAAAAAAAAAACGCAATCGAGTCACATATGTAGGTACGGAAGTGGTTGCAGCAGTGGCTGCGGAGCTCTGCTGCATGGAAAACTTAGCAATACCACCATACAACCTCGTCTGCTGCACCAAATGTCAGAGGCGGTGAAATAATCGGTCAGAAAATTGCCATTCAGCACAGCACGCGATTTGCTGCAAAGCATGCGAGGGGGGGGAAGGGAATGCAAAAGTGCTTTTTTCTTGTTGTTGTTGTTGTTGTTGTTGTTGTTGCTGTTGTTATTGCCGATGTCGCAAAGATCTTGTGCTTCGGATACCTTCCTTTTCCAGACACAAGTCTCTTTCGTTTAACAAGTATTGCTGCTGGCTCGCACCGATGCTACCCCAGAACCTAGATAGATATTGCCACATCGTCACACAGTCATTTGGGTCAGGACGAGGACAAATGGTGACACTGTACTCCGTACAAGTCTGTGCTCTCGTACAGCCTGGCCAAGTTGTTGCACATTGGAAAGGGGAAGGCATTTCCTGGAATCGCTGGTTCAACAAGTGCCATTTCTGTGCCTGATGACCCTGTAGGGCTCGTTCAGGAACGAGGAAACCAAGTCCCGTGTGCGGAGAAGCCCCCAACATGGGGACATGTCGTTGAAAAGATTCTGGAATCAAGCAACTGAACGCGAGCCGGGGGGTTAAACAATGGCGAACTTGAAGGATAGTTCGGGGAGTAAGAGCCCTTGTCTGCCGGTTGTCGACACCTTTTTTTGTTCTCCTTGTCGAGGCCAAAAAAAGAGCCGAAACATTTTGGCGTTGGCGGCCGCTGCTTGCCTGTGCCCAACCGTGCACACCCTGTCAGTATCTCAAAAGGGGGAGACCGTTGAATCGCGTTCAAGAAAAGAAATAAAAATAAAAACAAAAATAAAAAACTTTTCTTGATAGACAGAATTCCAGGAGCTTTGAATACATGCAGAATTCGGAATATCAAGGGAGAAAGCGGTCAAACTGTATGCGCTGCAGCGACTCATGTACGCATTATGCATCGCGATGGGAAAACTTTTTGGCTGCAGGTTCCTAAGCGGTCGGTGAGTGTTTTGCAGCGGCACAGCACAGTACAGCACAGCACCAGGCATCCATTCAGGCCTTGTAACAAAGGCGGTAACAACTTTCCGGCAACCATCTCACCCAGTTGGGGGGAACAAGCTGGGGCTTTTATTTTTTTTCTATTTGCACACCCCCCAATTCGGCTCTGACGAGTGCCCAAACGGGCAGCTTTAACAGGTTCATTTGCCTACCGCACACAGATAGCGGTGCCGCGTCCACCCCCCCCCCCCCCTTTCTGCTACCCGTGTTGCCGTGTCTCTGCTCCATCATTGATCAACCGAGATACTGATTCATTTTCTTTGCTTTGCGCCCCAGGTTTGTGCTACGCCCGCTGCGCGTCCAAAGTGTGTCTGTTTCCTCTTTGCCCCCCGTGTTGGGCGGTGATTGCTCACGTACGACCTTTTTCTGTATTAATAGAAATCATGGCTCCCCTTTGAGTACACTGTTTCCGATGAGTTTTGGTCTCTGTATCGGCTTCTAGAGCTCGCTTGAAATTTTTCCATCATCAGTCATCATCATCATCCTCTTCCTGCTCCCTCGTTGCGACGTATTCTATACATTTTCAGCCGTCTTCTGAATCAGCCGGTGAGCTTATGACGACGTTTGGCCGCTTCTCGCAAGCGCCGAGTGCAACACGTACACAGCTGCTCAGTCCGACCTCAACTTGCTGCAGCCTGGAGCCTTTGCAACCACACCACACCCAAACACATCAGCCTGACTCATCAGTACCTAGTTATCTACGGTGCATTGTTTCCGGGCCTGCCCTTTCGTCCTGGAAACCTGCCAAACGTTCCGGCCCTCGAAATACCGCAGTTTTGACATTTTGTTTCAACAAAAAACTTTCACAAGTCTTTGGAATAATTTCGCTAAAAGAAAAAAAAAGCATACAAATTTTACCGGATACATACTTCCGACACCCGGGCAAAGCCGCGACCGAGGCGGCTGGCGACTCAAAGAAGCCCTCTCCCCGGAACCTTGCTAGAGCCTCCTCGGCCCAGGCGATTACAGTACGCCACAGGTTGCATGCCTGGATGCTTATTATCAGTACATACAGCCGTGTGTGACCCATCGGACTCCAGCTTATCCACACCCCCCCCTCCCCTCGCATCCCCAGGCTCACAAGCCAGAAGCACAAGCCAAGGTCTCCAGGTCGTGTCTTATTATAAGCCCTACACTCTCTCGCCTTCCCTTTCAAACAATACTTCCGCCGAACCCCAACAGAACATAAGCGAGCGACAACCGGAACCCATCGTCTTATATCATATCCTCCCATCCTCTTCTGTCCACGACCCCAGATCTCACATCAACAACACTCCACATTCTCGACACCCCGATTTCTTGACTACCTACTGCCTACACTATTCAGTAACCGCAGTATAAAACAACTACACACATACACACACACACATCCATACCAGCTGTCATCATGTACGGCTCATATGGCTCATATAGCTCCATGAGCATCGGCTCCGCGCCCATGAACATTTACACAAGCGTCACATCCCGCGACGAGTCGTGCGCGTTTCCTTCATGGCCGCGCCGCTCATCGCTGAGCTCCTCCAACAAGGACGATGTCTCCCACGAGCCTCGCGCCAGCTCCTACCTCTCCGACGACGACCTCTTCCTCGACGACGAGCCCAGCAGCAGCAGCAGCGGTTCCGAGAGCGACGACATCCGCAGCGTGTCCAGCGCAGGTAGTGCCTCGCCGCCCACGCTCGGTCTCGTCCTCGCCTCGCCCGTCCGTGCCGCGCCCAGCGAAGCCGAGATTCTCGAGATGCAGCGCCAACGACTCAACGTCCGCAAGGACCTCATCCGCATGGTTCAGCAGGAAAAGGAGCGCCGCAAGCAGCAGGCGAGCAAGAGCCGCCGCACCGCCGCGGCCAGCAAGAAGAGCAGCGGCAAGAAGACGACGACGCGCAATAACTACACCATGGCTCCCATCAAAGAAGCGGACGAGTGAGGGCGCGCACGCCACAAAACACTGAGAGAGTTTACTTGCTTGCTTCCCACCTTGGCCAACAAAGCAACCAGCACTCAGCCTGAAGCAATACGAGCGCATGTGAAGATGCACATGCCACCTCCCCAGAAAGCTTATTCTACACGCCCCCCACACAGGCTACCGGCCAACCACGGGACGCCTATTACGGCCTTTACCAGTACAGCAGCGACCGCGCATCTTGACTGAGCAAATTTTTCTTCCTTTGATGCAACATGGAAAAGAAGGGCAGCCATACTTGAATGGCAAAACAACGAAATCCATAGTGCCGCGTTGGCATACAGCTGCGAAGCTGCTGGGGATTTATTCGGAGCGCTTTGCGCTCTGAGGCAGGCTGGGAGTACCAGGTACCCCATCTGTGGCGGTGGACTACCGCCAAACCAAAGTCTCGGGCACTTGGCGATTCACATGTGGGGGCCGGGTCCTGTCGGAACCCTAAAAAGGCAATACGCGATACCGAGGGCCAGGCTGCCTCTGCACCGCCGACCAAAGACTCATCACAACCGGCGACTTGCCCCCCCCCCAAAAAAGGCCGATCCTAGCCTACAATCACATTCAGGGTCTCGCTGCCACATGTGAATACGCCACGCCTGTGCTCTTTCTTCCCCTCCGATCCCCGATATCTTACCCCAGCCGAAAGATTGCCACGTCCCGCTTTGACTGCCTTCCAGCCTCGGTCCGCACTAGCACCACTTAATGTTTTTTTTTCTCTTCTTGATACATCTCTTATCTTCCTTGACGGATATATTAGCGTTTTTACGTTTCTTCACATGTTTGTTTCTTTTCTCTTTTGCGCCGTGCCGGCTTTATTTCGCATACATACAACCAAATCTTGAGCTTGGCCTTTCTGTACCGGCTCGTCAGCATTTGAGCGAGCATTATTGTTATTTTCTTCATATCATTTTGTTACATTTCATCATGATGCAACAGTACAGGACACTGTGGATTGTCACGACGGTCAGGGAGATTAGCCTTCTTTATTACCTACTTTACACATTAGATGCTTCTTTTTGGATACCCCCCCTTTTCACAGTCTCCAGCTATGGATAGACTTTTTTAGCTAGCTTTTCAATACCCATTTGATCACTTTACTCTCTAAGCATTCGCATCTCTCGAGCCCACCTAATGTCGTACATTTCGAAATGGAAAATCATATACTTGGTAGTTGCACACCAAAACATATCACCCCGTCTAGTAGAACAGCTCGCTGGGGTCTATGTCTTACTATGGCACTGAACAATACAGACACCAATAACAAATCCAAATTCATTGAATTGACTTTGGCGAAAAAGGCCAGAATACACCATCGCCAGGCTTATAGACTTCATCGACCAGCATGGAGCAGGGCGATTCGTCGTCTCTCTTCTCCACGGGGTATGCGGCCACTGGCAATCAAACAGTGTCACTAGCCAAGGTTTGTAGTGTTTTTCAAGGTATTGGCCAATGTCCCGCAGAAATCTTGACAAGTCGATAGATTGACACGAGATCGCGCGTCGACCCCATGGGGCACCCCACTCAAGCAGCACAATCTCAATTGTCGCAATCACAGGCAAAGTACAGATCCCAGTCGTGGCCAGCCACAAAGATGAACGGCAAAGCGGGAATCAGCGGCCAGTACATGGGCTCTGCTATGCCGGGCGTAGGGGTCTAAAGAAGAGCCTCCTAAACGGTAGTTTTCTTTTGCGATTCGTGCCGTATTTGGCATCCAGAAACCTTGACAGGCGACTGTGCAACGCCGCGGTATGGATTCCCAGATCGACTCCCCACCGATGCATCGCGCCGCCATTAATTGGCCTTTGCTTGATAGTCTGGCCGCTGACTGATGGGTCGGGGAAGAAGCATGAACCGGGCAAAGACCCCCCTTGCCCAATTTCTGCAGTCACCGTCTCTCGAATGCATTCCGGCAGAAAGGATCTTTTTTTTTCAACGGGCCCGTCTTGGGTCAAATACAAAGTACACCTCCAAGAGCGGTTTTGGTAGCAAAAAAAGAGCCGTGTTGGATGTATGCTGTTCGTGAATCACGGGGGGCTCAGCTTGCTGAGCCAGCGACGTCCATTATCGGCGAGCACATCTTGCTGACTTGGCCTGAATACTGTTACGCGAGCAGAACCTGATATAGACTCAAGTACAGCTGCATTCGCGTCTCCGGTAGGCTGTCTCTGCGATAACATAGTGGCAATCCTGCCAGCTTTGGGTGGAGGGGGAGAGAGCCATGACGCCGTGCTCGCTCGCTCAGCTTCAAGCGCCTGCCGAATGACGTCGACATTTGCACAATGTTCTGCCCATTCCAAGTATATCGGACGCCTTTCATACATTCTTCCCATTTTCATGAGTTTTGTCTGTTCCTGATCTCGCCTTGTGCAGTCCAGGTTGGCCTGGTACGCACCAACGGGAGCAGGTTTACGGCTTGGGATATTCGAGCCCCGAGAGCTGCTCGGCGCCGGAGCAGCGGGGGTATCTCGGACACTTACACTCTCTGCTCTCGACATGTCGATGATTTAGGTATTTTCCATCTTAGCCGCTAAGTACAGAGTAAGCTATATAATTGTAAGAGACGTGATGAATAGCACGTCAAGAGGGCGCACCCCCTCCGTCTTACGTTGTAGAAACGAAACATGAATAATGGATGGTTTAATTTGATTAAACATGAAATATTAGGTACGTTGCTCTGAATGACCATTATATTATCTAGATTTCTCTGACGGACTACTATTAAGCTACTTTGTTGATGGTGTATAAAATTGACCGTGGGTATTAGGCCGATGTGGCTGTCTTGCCTAGACTAGATCAAGAGTCCGAATTAAGACGATGGTAATTCCCTAATTCACCCCTGTCCAAACCTTGTTAAACAGATGCCTGATCCCATTTAAAGTATCCTTTCTCTAAAAACTCTACAACTATTCGCAAGTTCTTTATTAAAAAGTAAATGTCTGCTAAATGTCGACTACTCCCCATCTAGTGGCCGTCGAGCAAATTAATGTGCTTGCCGCGCTCGTAAGCAAAGTACAAATACCAATTAGTTCCCCGCATATAAATCTGAGGGAGAGCAGGAATCAGCGGACGCTTCCATGGTTCATCGTTGTTATCTAAAGGTCGCTCAAACCTCAACTGCATCTGGTGCCTCGTATCCTTCCGATGCGCCTCGGTCCAGTCGTTATGAAAGTCTGTGTTAAAGGCGTCCTCTAAAGGATTATTTAGATCAGAGTACTTGGCATCGAGAAAGTTCCTTAGTTGGTGATGGACAGCGGTGACCTGCCGGTCCATCTCACTGCCCTATTCAGCCACTAAGTCCTGCTCAGGCTGTGTCGCGCTCGTTTCGAAGAAACAGGCCACGGGTAAATGTCGTAAATCGGTTTGCTCCCTAGGATTCATAGACGCCTTGCCGTCATACCCGGTATTTAGCTTTTCCTCGACGGCTTCAGTTAGCTCTTCATTTTCGAGGAACAAGCCTATGGTCACCTTGCCGCTCTGCTTAGGAGGCTGGGCGTTGGCATCGGCTGCGACTGGATCAAATTCTTTCAATAATGTCGTCATCTTGCTAGTCAGAGCCTTGTGTGTGATTTTTCGGGATCCACCCAGGACAAACTTCAACAGAGGCGTGCCAACGTTGAGGTTCCAGCGAGAGTCAATGTAGCTCCCTTCCTCGCATTGATGTGCTTTGGCAACAATGGCTTCGGCTTTGTCAAACTCCGTCTCGGCCGAGAGACTTCGTCTCGCTTCCCGCATTTGCCATGCTCTCTGACAAGCTGAGTCACTGTCAAAGAAGGAATCAGGCAACGGCCCGCGCCCGAGACGGTCCGTCATGACATCTCTCATGGCAGACGGGAAGAACATGGCGATAGCTGCGTTTCGATGTTTACCTGGCCAATAACACTCGATGACAGCCTGTCAGCCAATCGTGTCTATCCTTACTCGCGGACGTCACGAGCCGAGAGGCGGATGAGCGCGGAGGAGGCACGCGCAGTTGCGATTCATCGTAGTTTGCCCCCCACTCATGTGCGCCCTCGTCTGATCCTTGCATAGCACCATGTCGGATCTCATTTGCTTTCGGCATATACTAATTTGATAAAGAAAGGAACAAGCTCTCAGAGTCCGCTGTAGTATGGGACGGTGCGGTACGGGACGGTATTGATGAGGTCTCTTGACGCCTGACCGTCGTGGGTATCGGAAGCAGAAAGCCCAGCGCCGCAAGGTCATCCTTGAATGGAAGTAACCTGTTGTAACGCGCTATTTCTTCTTGAAGATTGGTCTCATCTTCTAAGTTTGCGTCACTGGCTTGCTTTCTCTTTTGGCGTCGACCTCCTTGCGAAGGCTCTGTCGTCATATGCGACGGAGACTGCGCGCGTCTTTTGCCCTAGCATGTCTATTCATATTATGAAATCTTGGATTGCATACCCAGTCTCGAGCTGGCAAATGACAAGCACTCATAAGCGCTCTTGAAGTTTTCGTCAATGGTTCGCTACTTAACGCTGGAGGCACAATCAAAAAGTGGCTCCGACGCGTGTTGCACGCGCCTAACGCGACTGTGTCTAGATCCTCTAAAGTTTACAAAATGAACAATGTAAGAAATCTAGATGATCGTTGAGAAGATCAAGTGCGGCGTTTTCCTATTTGATACTTATTCTTTGGTTAAGTGTTCTCGTTTCCGTGTTGAATGAGGCACTGTTCTAGAGAGCTTGAACATGATCAACCACTTTCATCCCTCCACGGGTTCATCTAGGCGTTGTCCTACGAATCACAATGACAACTCTTATAAAAATGTAAACAGCTGAACGATCATTGAAAATTGACCCAGTAAAAAAACCAGAGCAATATGAACCTTCAATAACCCACCATCTTGATAGTCAAGGATCTCAGGAACTCACCTGTTTGAACTTGGCCTACCCTACATCATACAAGCGTGTAAAAGCTTATTTTGCGACGTAAGACGAGATGCTCAGATGGACACATGATAGAGCCGTTGGCTTTTTTGGCCCTGTATACACCAAAATCGTGCACTCCACAGCAACAACGCTCTTGCAAGACGAAGAGAGAAAAAAGCAACCAAGAGAGGCTGGTGGCCCGCTCGCGGAGCACGTCCGGCGCACTGGCTTCGGGCTAGTTTGGGGAGTTCCCGCTGCAAGTGGACGGCGGAGCGCTGGGGTATGGAGGCACGAGATTAATTAACTATGCATACAGTTTTAGGGAGAGGGGTTGGACGCAACTCACGAGTGTTGGTAGCGAGAGAACTCATTACTTGGAGACCCAGTTGGGAGTCCTTTCTTCCCGTCTAGAACGGCCGGGCAGCCAAAGCAATTGCAGCATCTTGTTTGACAGACCCGCAAGCAGCTGTAGGATGAATCAGTGTGTCAAGTCAGGAAAAGACTCTGCTTCCGCAGTATAAGAGCTTTGGACTATCAAACAATTCTGACCGCTCACCCAGAATTGTGACGGCTTTGCATGACTGTGGCTTTTCTGGTCCATTTTCGGTTAATGCTAAACAGTAGATTGCCAGCCCCTGCCCAGCCATGCATGCTGCTAGGATGGGAGCCGGCCGGGTGTGATTGCGACGATGGAACAGCCTCGTTCCGGTGTGATTGTGTTGCAGCAATGCGGCCCCCAACGAGAAAACGTGGAACATGCTTTCGACTTGACCTACTACCGCCCATACATGTTTACGAATCTGCGACCCAAGCCGCGTGGGGGCTCAGCTCGCCCAACAGAATGGGTGTGAAGGCTAACTGAAAAATCTTTGCTTTATTGACAGTGGTTGGAATCTAGCCATTGACATGGCAATTGGCAACTGGTGGGTGCGCCATGGTCGCGTTGCGTTTCGGGTGATAATGCTAGTTAGTTAGGTTTGGATATATCACGGAGGGGTTGTACTGTGGCTGACCACTAACTATCAGTCGCACCCACATTCGAGCAATTGGGGTTGGACTATTGTAATGCCCAGCCTAACTACTTGTGAGCATTGCAAAGAAGAAAGCGAGCGCTCAAAGTTGGCAGTTATCAAAGTGCGTGGTGCAACTGCTAGTTATGCGACAGCCTGCTGTCTGCATCATGCTCAGCATTCCCTCTGCGTGATTTCAACGCCATGCTGGAGTTAAGCATCAAGTGCGGAGACCAAGGTCGCCGCAACGGCGAGCATGGAGATTTCCTGCGTTTGCAGAAAATGCACGTACCGGAAACTGATCCTCGCCAGGTGGTCTGCGAATGCAAGGCTATGTCTGTGCAGTTTCGAGGAGTCGACGACTTGCGCGGCCGAGAGAGAATTGCCCACCCGGTCGTGAAAACAGGCCGCGCTAGGTCAGAGACGGCCGGTGAACTAATGCGAGGCGTTAATGTCGAACATTCAGCGTGGCTATCTGGCGGAGCCAATCCCCAGAATGGTGAGCGTGAATTCGTGTGATGTGTAGTATTCGACTTTGGGCACCGGTCTTGTGTTGGGCATGTGTGCGCAACAACTTGCAGCCAAGCAGTTCGTTGATCACAATTTCGTCCGCGGCCAAGCCTGGTGGCCGTTGCAATCGCCAACTAGTTGTAGACCCGAAGTGGTGTGAAGCTCCTCACCTGGGCCGGGGTCATGGCCGCATCCCGGCTCCCGAAGAGCCCGAGCACTCCTGCCATGTTAACGTTGAGGCATTGCATACCATGTTGGAGAAAATCGAGAGGCTGGTAGACGATGCACTGGATGGGTGATCGCGAAAAGCTCACTGGCAACGCTTCCCGCACCCGAGCCCTACTGGCCTACCAGATCTACCAATGAAAATATGTAGTACCCCTTTGGGGATAGCGAGTGCCGAGTTCGGCGCGAAGAACAATGTGAGACGCGGGAGGATTGACTACGGCGGTATCATACTTTGATGTCTTAGCTGAAAGTCATAGCCGACGGACAAAGAAACGGTTTCCTGTGTTCAGATTTGTGTTCAGCTCAGGTTGAAAGATGTGGTAATGCAACTATGATAGTAGTTGTCGTAGGAATATAAGACGGCAAAGACGGGGATGACTAGCGCGCACACGAAAGGGCGGGGTCAATGTACGGATGTATTCTGGCTTTTGGATTGGTAGGACAAATGCTGTGCAACGCGAGTTGCATATATTTTCGAGATGCCGTTCGGGATGAAGCGGATATGTATTGGGTTTTGACATCAGGCCTTGTGCACTTCTTTCCATCTGATGCCTCACATGACGACGCAGAGTTTTGCAATTGAGCATGTATTCGTTTAAAACGAGGAACAATGTATCCGCAGATAAGCGGAAGTCAAGAAAATCGATCAATGGGGGTTGTCTTAGACAAACAGTCTCTGCTCCTAGCTGACAAAGGACTGGCACCTGTCTCGAGTTAGCACGCTCAAGAGTCGCAGTAGCGCTATTTTTTCCCAGTGTATTATGAATTAGTCTTTGTGCCGTGAAGAGATGCCATTGTGGATTGATGTTGATTGCCAGGTGCAATGGTCTGTATAGATCATAGGTCATTCGTGATGCAGTGCATTCAATTGCAGGTACACGCAGGCCATGAGCCGTCAAGTTGGTCAGCGCGGCAGCGGGTGGTCCGTGGAGTTTTGAGTATGCCTGCAGGTCAGAATAGAGCACGAATTTGGCAAGCCACAGGAAGCGCAGATGCAGCAACAAGACATTTCTGCAATACGGGATGCGATGTACTCCGTAATGTAGAGGCATTCGGCGGGATCGGCGGTCAAAAGGACGCCGCCACCAGAGGGCCAAGAGGGCCAGGGTTTGGTGGGATTTTCATCGCCAAAAATAGAGCCGAAGCAAGTGAGTTTCTTGCACCCGATGAGAGCCAAGTAAATCGATAATACCCATCCGTAGAGGAGGCGTGACTGGGACGGGCCGTAGATGAGCATTAGGCATAGTGAGCGCCGAGAATCATGGAAGGACAGGCAGAGATGTTGGGCAGACAAACAACTGTATTGGATAGACGAGACAGACTAGTGACGGGAAGCGGAAGAACGAGACAAGGACAGCGATAGTTGTTAGGCAAGGATGACTGGGAGAGAGAAGCACGATTGGTGGCTGGGAGGAGAATTGGAGATGGTTGATGGCGCGAACGCAGGACGGCGGAGCCTGAAGCGAGTGGCGTTGATCAAATTAATGCAGGCTGGCGTAGAAGCAGGGGATGATGGTGAGGAGAGTGGCGTGTAAAGCGAGCGAAGGAGCATGATTCCTGGAGCGGTAGGTAGCCGGCAGCTGGGTATATGAATTGATGAGTTAGGATAAGTGGGATTGAGGGGGAGAAGTTGAAAAGGAGGATGGAAGCTAGACTGGTGGTGGTGTTGGTGGAAGTTGTTTTAGTGGTTGATATAATGGGCTCGAGAGGTGCAAGGTCCATTGTTGGAGCAGTTGGGCTCACGTTTTAGTGGATAGGTAGGCAGCTGGAGAGAGCCCCACGACAGCGCTAACTGCCACTGTGCCAGCACGTTGGTGAGTTGTTAGCGGCGGGATACGGGCGATCGGACCCCTGCAACCTTGAAAGTGCCTGCAGTCCCAGCAGAGAGCAAGTCTGGGCAGGTGTGATGGGCGCTACGATTGGCTGGGGCTCAAGACACGCTTGCAACAAGATGAGCCAATTAGAGACCGAGCTTAAGCTGGGCGCTTCCTCGACGGCTTCGATTGATCGTTTGGTCTACCAGACCCGCTTTGGGGCCGCCAGCCATCAAGCCTCGCTGCACGCTAGCTCACCAGTCAATGCTTTTTTAGCTTCAATTTGTTCTTCTTCTTCACAGTTGCACTATGTCTGCTTGACAATGGCCCAGCAATCACAATCCATTCTGTGCGTCCGCCCCCGCCGACTCTACCACCATCGATTGCAGTCTCTATTACTTGCCAGCAGAGCGGATTATCTGCTGCCGCATGGATCCCATCCTTGTCTCAACGCCAGCACGTTTGTTGTTATTTTTGGATGCAAACGCACGCAATTGACCTCGATACGTCGCCGCCAATGACACCGCCTCAATGTGATGCGATGCCGATGAAGAAACCAACTTGCTAGACGCGACCAACCGGATGCCATGCTCGCTGTAGCAGCCATGTAAGGTACCAAGCAACCAGGCTCGTACAGCGACCGTGCCAGCCCGCCATCTCATCTGCAGCGATGCCGGCAGCTGTATATAGTGGCGTCTGCACCAGCAGCATCAGCAATCCTCCAACTATCGGTTGGTGTGTGGTGTGCCGCTTCCCGACCCCGCAAGCCTGCTCAAGCCAGGCGGCGCGAGCACGACGTTGCAGTTTACCCAAAGCGCCAGAGACACGAGCCCAACAAACCAAAGCATCCAGCAGCACCAAGACGACCAAGCGAATCCAGGTACAAATCGCGACACAAGGCCAATGTAATATCAAATTAACCTCGGAGTCTTGGTATGCATTTTGATAGGCTCCGGTATAGTCCAGCTCATGTCCACGCGGAACGACCATCGACGGAGCTAGTCATGGGAGCCCTGCAGGGTCCTTGACAGCGCTGGCCAATTCTGTCCGAATGCTCGAATGACGGCATTCAGCGCCATCGCCTGGCGAATGTAACGCTTCCGTGAACAATCGCCTGCCAGCGCATCCAGACCGGTGCTTCAACGGCTGTGGCTTGTCTCGCCGCCCTGCCTCCTTGCCAGACCGACGCCGCAACGAAGCAAGCGGGCATTTACATAGGATCAAATGTGCGAATGGGGCTCTCGAATTTCGTCTTCTCGTCTCGAGGTAGCCCTATCAAGCCTCCCCGGCTGCCCTAATTTTATACTATTATGAGCCCGTCAACCACTGACAGTCCATCGCGCCGCTTCGTTCAACCTTAGCCGCCTCTGTTCGTCCCCCCAAAGAGGACCCCCCGACTCGGCCCCAGTCACTCACATCCTAGCAAGCTCTTAGTTACCAACTTACCAGGGCCTTCTCCATCGCCAGATCCCTGCTAGCAGACTGTATCTTCAGAGTCTACACAAGTTCCTGCTGCTGCCGGGCGGTATTAATGTGTGTCTTGCCTGTGTTGCGTTGTGCTTGTGCCCGCCCGCCTCTGTCTTTGACCCGTCGCTAGTCCTCCCGAATTAGAGCTCCGCTGTTGCTGCACAATTACTTGCCTAGCAGCCCACCGCACTCGCTTTATCACTTTGGCACACCTTTTCCCTCAAACATTCTAGTATTTCTCTTTCTTTGTTCCTTGCCAAAGCTATATCCGAGTTCGACTCCTTTTGCACCATTAAGATTGCAAGCTCTTTGTTCGCAACAGCGCATCCATCCCTTTGGCTCCGAGTAAGTAACACCCCAGCTGCAACCGCCAGCTTTGCGTATCCCCTCATCTACAAGCGCCCGACCCACTCCTCACCAACTGCCTCTCTGGCCTGCGGCTACTTACAGCAGGCCGTATTCAGTCTGTCCTGCTTCGTACTATTTGCTAGAGGCTGTCACCCCTTCCTCTTGAATGAGACTTTTTGGACGATTCTCCATTTTCTCCTTTTCATACTTCATCTTGCTGTTATCGCTTCGGCGACACGAGCAGTCACCAGCTTATCGCAATACCGTCACTGAATTGTTGCCAACCCAACATTTCCTGTCGCACAAAATTCATGCACTTTTCGATCGTCACATGTCTAGCCTTCGATCGTTGCAAGATTCACGCCGCCACCATCTTCGACACGGAAACTAATTTTTCTTCAATCAGCGCCTCCATGTAATCAGCGACCCAGACCGGCGTCGGAACCGAATCTACAACTGCACAAGCTTCCTTCGTGTGGCGTCGCCTATTGCGCTCTCACCGTGAGGCACAGAGGTTTTGGTCCACGGTTACCAGCGTGGAGCGGTGCACTCACCGTCCCACGCTATTGTCTACCGCCTCGTGACTGTGACGACAGTTCACTGCAGGACGCCGCTGCGAACCGTCCCTCCTGCAGGGCATCGGACTCGGTCGCAAAAACTACGCCCCAAAAGGCCGACTTTGACCCTACGCTACACAAAGACTCGCGAGCCTATCCCTTCAAATCGGTTTCATCAAGTCGGTCAACATGTCTGCCCCAGCTTCCTCACAGGGCCATGCCATTTCGCGAGCCTCCGAGCGATCGTCCACCGCCAAAGGGCGGCATACACATGACCCCGCCATGCCTTCGATACAGGATCTCAAGTATTTCGATCCCTGCGGCGCCACGGCGTCTATGTTTCTATATGTCCAGGGCACTTCTGTCGTCTGCTGCCACCACGATTCGCTAACCATCGAGCGTCGTTTTACTGGCCACCAGTTTGAAGTTATTTTGCTCGCCATCGACAATCATAGCCAATACGGCGGAGGGCGCATCGCCGCCAGCTACGACAGTAGTAGCAGGATGATGATCTGGGACCTGATGACGGGTGAGGTGCTCAAGAGCTTCACTTCGATCGGGGATGGTCTGATAACCGCCATTGCATGGATGCGCAATGGAAACTTGGTGTTTGGTACGGGATCCAACTCTCATCTAAGTTGCTTTATTACTAACAAATTCGAAAGGTGACAATCAGGGCACAATCGGCATATTCGAGATTACTACTGGAGAGCATGTGAGGACAAAAACATTAGAACAAACGGCAATCACGGCTCTGGCTCCATCACAAGACTGCCTAACGTTTGCAATCGGGTAAGCCATCGGGTTTTGCACCAATATACTTCGAGACTAACGTGCCACAGATTCCAAACTGGAACTCTTCTTATTGCTCGTCTCCAGCCTCGATTCACCATCATGCATAATTTGACAACTTCCAGAGCTCCGTCGCCCGTGATCAATCTTTCTTGGCACGCCTCTTCGTCTCGACAAAAGTCGGAGATGCTTGCCGTGCAGAAACACGATGGTGATTTACGAGTTTGGAGTGTAACCAAAGCTTATAATCTGGAGGACCCCGCCAAAGTTGTTCGAATTTTGCGCAAAGCAGAGGCCATCGAGAAAGGTTCCAATTGGATGGGCTGGTCCAAGAACGGCCGTGTCATCCAATTTTCCGACAGGTATGCCTTGCGAATTCCCACCACATGTAACCCCTGGCACTATACTGACCACGGTAGCGAAACCCTTTCGTGGGATGTGCGAACGAAGCACGTTACCTTTGACTCGATTCCCACTCTTGAGCATGTCCGGGGTATGGCACTCTACGGACCTGGTGCAAGTCTATTCACAGTCGGGCCCAATGGCACCGTACAGCAATTTGATCTTAACTCGCCAGCAATCATGGTCGCGAATGTCCAGCATCCTACGAGTCATCTGCCACCTTCACCTCCAAACTCAATCGAGGAAATTGCCAACCAATCAGTCCACTCCGCCACCACAATCCATACATCGGAATCGGACAGCTCTAGGAGCTCTATCCCCCTGGAGATGAATGTCTCTGAGAGTGATGAGGACCACCTGTCACCGTTTGCACGCATTGCTCGCGGCCAAGCACATCCCGACTCTGGTAACGAGACATACGAATCGGCAAGTCCTGCCTCTAGTAGAAGCGGCCTGTCTTCTTCTCAATCGCGATCTTCTGCCGCCTCTGCTGGCCCGCGTCTACCGGGTCGCCCTCCCACATCCATTCGGTCGCAAAACACCTACATTTCGGCGGGAACCTCGCTCAAATCTTCCACCATTGGTAGGCAGCAAGAAATCGATACATACTCTATGGGATACTCGTTGGGAAGCACCAGCATCGCATCTTCGCGCTCGCGTCAACGCCCATCCCGACTTCGCCACGAGGTTCCTCGCAGCCCTGATGACAACAAAGTCTACGACTTGTTCAAATTCACAAGAACACGACTTAGCGACATCCCATACAAGCACCCGATGAATGCCGATAACTCGCGCCTGACTAATGACGACCTGAGAAGGCAGATGCTTAGTACAATATTCGGTTGGCATGCTGAGGTCGATGACCTCGTCCGCGATGAGTTGACCCGGCACCCGAGCGGATCTTCGAGCCGTGTCCTTCTGGCTAAATGGCTTGGTGATATGGACACGGATATTATGCCTGACAGCGCCAAAGACATGACTTCTTCCGATTGGATGCTGTTTGCTCTGAGTGGCATTGGCAGCGCTGCTGGGCAGCAAAAGATTGGCCGAGTCTATGTACAGCGACTCTTGGAAAGCGGGGATATCCACGTTGCTGTTACCATCATGCTCGGCATGGGCGACCATAACGATGCCATTGAGATCTACATCTCCCATAAGCGGTACATGGAGGCCCTCATCCTGACTTGTCTGACATTTCCTCGTGTTTGGGAACGTCAAGCAGCCATCATCAGGAAGTGGGGTGAGTGGGCTGTTCAACATCACCAGCAACAACTGGCAATTCGATGCTTTGCTTGCACGGATCAAGAGTCCACCGAGCCATGGAGATCGCCATCTGCAGTCCAACTCAACTTCCAGAGCATCACACCTAGCATACCCGAAGTTCTCAGCCCTCCCCTGTCACCCCCGGGAGTTCAGCGGGGTCCTCAACGAAGCGTTGCAAAGTCATCTGCGTTGAAGCTCATCACTTCTTTCGGTGATATAAACCAGAAAGCCAAGTTCTATGCCAACATAGATGATGGTCAAACCCCCATCGCTGCGGGAGTCACGCCAATTGCAGATTCGGCCATATCCCCAGGTGGATCTTACGAAGCTGCGACAGCGTTCTTGCGTCCATCTAGCAATAGCCGCTTCAACACACCCACATCTGCAAGGCCCGCGGGGTCTCTGACGAGCCGTGGCCGCCTGCCTTCCATTGGTGAAGCCCCGAATGACATCAATCGTGATAATCTGGCACGTGAAGCCAGCCGACAGCGTGGCGGCCACTCCCGGATGGTGTCTGCCGACTACGATAACATTATGGCTGGCAACTCGCTCACGCGGGCTTCCACTGCCAGCCCCATGATGATGCGCGATCGATTCACACGCGTTGTTTCAGACTTTCAAGGTGGTGAGCGTCCTCCATCTCCTGATCAAAATGTCATGGTTCGCATGCAAGAAAGTAAGAGCAATGTACGAAACGGCTCGAGAAGCCGAATTCCCGGCGGTAAACTTCTTGAACTACACTCCATTGGTCAGTCCATGATGAATGACCCAACATCCCCAGAACAGTCTGGCGCATCGTCGACTCGATTTCACTGGCCGACAAGGCGCCGCGGTCCTGGATCAGTTGCAAGCTCCATTACTTCAAACTCTAGCGCAGGCCGAAGCTACAGACATGGACGGCAGAAGGACGAATACATACACAGCCTTGAAGCTGCCAAGCACTACACCAGCAAAAATCGAAGTAGAGGTCAAAGTATAGAACGAGCGCGCGATAGCTCCAGAACTCGCTATGGTAGCCGAGAGAGACGGGAAAGATCCCGAGAGCCGTCGGAGCACCGCGGACGTTCTTCGGCTCGGAGCTGGGTCAAGCCAAAGCGTTCTCCAACATCGCCGGTCCCCATGTCTCCGGAGGACATTGCCAATCTGACAATGCCGAAATATATAGACGCCGGTGAATCTACAACGTCAACGTCGAGAAGATCGGCCAAGACCAAGACCAAGATTTCAAGCCGCACATCGAGCCCTGGCAGCAAAGGTCACAGTCCGAATAGAAAACGACAGTCATTGACTCTGGAGACGCGCGGACGAAGCCAAGGCAGAGAAAGTGCCAGGGCTCGTTCACCTGCGTCGCCTGTGCCCTTGTCGGCGAGCATTTTGCATCTGCAAGGGTCAGAAGATGAAGAGGATCTGAAGCGCGCCATCGAGGAGCAAGAGGCTTTCAGAGCCAAACATAGCCGGAGTGTCAGCCAAGGACTTAATTCGCCTGCCGCATCTAGAAGAGAAGACCCGGATACAAGGACAAAGGAAGTCATCATTCCCGAATCAGTGGACACTGCTCCAGCACCCGTTAATCATTCACGCGCCGCGTCAACCGAACATGCCGGGGACCTACGCCAGTTCAAGGACGAAAGACTGAGGCGAAAAGAACAGGCGGCTCGTGAACTCGAGGAGCGCCGGAAGTCGCTGGCAAAGCGGGCGCACACACCAGGAATCGTATATCCTGACGAATACGCACCTGTTGCCACACCTGAGCGCATCACTGTCGAGACTTCTGAACCGAAACCATCGTCTCAGGAACTTCCACCCAGAAGTGCAACGGAGCCCCCCAAGAATATGTATGCTCGTGGTGCGAGCCCCATGATTGGGCTTCCAGCGACGCCCAAAGCCATGCGACTTATCTTGTCCAACGGAATGTCCAGCGGCCAAAACGTGCCGCCGGTCCCATCTTTACCGGCCAAAGAAGCAGCGCAAGAATTGAAGCCAGCTGCTCAAGACGAGGCAGCAGGCTTACTCACGCTGCTGCCGTCGACTGTGTATCAGCCGCCGGCTCGGCCGATGATTCCACGGAGCATGTCGGCGCCGATTCCTGACGACCCTCCGCGCTTTCGCAGAGCACCGAGCACAAGTGGCATCCCTAACATTGACGCTATTGTGCAAAGTGGCGAGCGTCGCAGCTCAAACGAAGAACCTCTACCGCCTCCGCCTCCGCCTCCGCCTCCACCGGCTCCCATGATGCCACCTATGCTGAAGGAGCTTCAACACTTGGCTCAGCCTCCGCCTCCCCCCCCTGCGCCGCTGCCACACATGAGGCCAATATACGGGCCCGGCGGAGCAATTGGATCCGGTATGATTGAGATTGTGATGGATGATGATGAGCAGCCCCCGGTTGCCGCACCGAATGACAACATGGTGCCTGTGCTGTCACCACCAGTACCGCCGCCTTCGCGGGGCCACAACCGCGGACGCAGCGTTGGTGGCGAGGGGAGTATTTCGGGCCGCAGCAGACGGGGCTCGGAGCGCCGTAGCCGGAGCCGAAAGAATTCCTACGCGCAGCAGCCTACCGCGGAGGTGCTAAGCGGCACAACGTATCAACAGGTCAAGTCGCCCGTCCCGGCGCCGCCTCCAGTCATGTACGACCAGGACGCGATTCGCTCACCGATTGATACAAAGGGCAAGCATATGTCGACTGGTCTACATCGTAGTGAGATGATTTAGGAGAGCTGCGCTGTGATGATGTGCAAGCGGGCGCCGGTTTTGATGAGGTCATTTATTCTCACGTGTTCTGCAGCATCTTTTCGGTCTTGTTGACCTCCTCCGGCTGGTAGATGGCCATGACGATACCTTTTGTTTGCTTTTTTCTTACTTTTACTCTTCTTGTGCCTACTTTCTGTTTCAATCGTTTTGCATCCTGGGCAGACCTGGTTCCCACTCACGCCGTTGTTCCTGGTTTTCTTCCTTCACATTGTTGTTTTGGTGATTGTGATGTGGAAGTCGAATATGGTGAATTCGTGTACGTGAAGGGAACAAGGGCCTTGGCCGTATTGGTGGGGGACCTAGGAAAAGCAACTGGATGGACGAGGTGATGGCCGGCCTGGTGTTTTTCTTCATCATATACATATGCTTTTTAAAACAATGTTGCCTCGCGGCACCTTGTACCAGATAGTCAGGCGAATATTCTTATTTACAGATGGTTACAGATTGAAGAAAGTATGAACATTGTATTAGTGACATGTATGTACCGCAAATCGTTGATTTGGAAGTAAAAAGAAATGCGCGTCGTTGGCAAAAAAAGGAAAAAAAAGAAGGAAAAAGAAAATCCCCCCGGAGACACCATCCTTGATTCAATTGTATTTGTATAGGAAAAGCCCGATGCGGGGGTCGAACCCGCAGCCTTGAGATGGGTGTATACTCTCGTAAGAGTCTCACGCTCTACCGATTGAGCTAACCAGGCCCGGATAGGATACTTGGTGTATCTCCGGGTGGAAATTGTTGAGGGGCCCAGTAGTTATTGACATTTATGATGGCTTGTGTGAATTGTGAATAAGAGATTTTTTTTTTTTTTTTGCAAAGATGGCTTGGTGTGGATTTGTAGTGGAATCTTGGTGGACCGTTGAAATTATGGGGGCCACCACATGCTAATAAAACGGCTGGCCCAACTAGAATACAGGGCTGAGAAGTAAGTTGGATGCAGCATCAGAAGATTTGAGGAAGAATGGTACAATTCGAAATTACGTAGGGCCATTAGTTGGGAGTATTCGAGGATTTTATTTTTCATGTATTTCAAGGAATGAGAGCGCGTGGCGTAGTAAATGAAAGGCTCAGCGGACTTGCACCGGAGAGGCGTGCTTGATGCACTACGTCGTGCAACCCGTTTTGGCAAAGGGAAAAAAGGGGCTTCTCAGCCCAGGTCTTGTCGTGCAACTCATTCGAAAACAGTAGACTAGGATAAAGTAGTGACTTAACAAGAGCTTCGTCGCGTAAAGATGTCAATCAAGTATGTTAGGCTCTGCTAATAAGCTTCAGATTTCCCTAGGCGGTGGTGTGTTTGAGTTGTATCTCGGTCATGATGGCGGTTGACGAGAAGATTTGCAATCCTTGTCTCGGGCGCCGCTGATAGGAAGAAAAAAAAAGAAAAAAAAAGAAAAAAAAAGAGGAAGGCAAGAAATGGCAGTTTTGGCCTGATATTCAACTACTCCATATAACCTCAATGACCCTGAATTCGACCTGCGACTTGTTCTGACTGTCGGTCGCGCCGTTCCAAGGCCCGTTCGTTGTCGAAGCGAAGATTGCGGTCGTAACGGTACTCCGTAGCGTGTAGATGCCAGGCAAAAGAGGCCCTGGAAGATGAAGACATGAAATGATAAATTCATATCTGCTATCGAAATCTTATGCTGATAATGCGTAAAACTGTCGTGTCATCATCATACCATACCGTACAGATCCAAAGATGCAATGCTTCCACCCAAATGCCTTTCCAACGCCGCTCACTAATAAGTAAATCGAGGTTTTACCTCCCTAGTCAGTAGCATATTGACTCGGCTCTTGCTCCTCACCAAACTCCACACTTGGCTGTGGCTTTTGCGCGTACCAATAGTAGTAGTTAAAGTATCTGTGAACGCGAGTATTGTCTAGAGCCTGTCGCGCATAGGCCAGTCGTACTTGGCCCTCTTCTTCCGAAAGGCCGAGCGCTTTAAACGGCCTTCCGGCCAGAGTCGAGATGAAGTCTGTGACGGCGGTTTTCTGGTACAAGCCCACGAGTCGCATCGTCTTGTCCTTTGCCCACGTGCCAATGGGAACCTTCATTACTTTGCAGTGAATGTTGTTGAAGCCGGCCGCTAGGAGCATGGGCTCTAGCTCTGCGGGTAATGAGGTGCTTAGGCCCAGTCTTTCGTAGGCATCGCCGGCAATCTCATACAGTACCTTGAAGGGGTCGTCGTCCTTCATAGTATCGTCATCGCAGAATGGGCGACCGAGCAACTCTTGGAATTCTATCCAGCCACCGGGTCGAAGGCTCCTGAATTTCATGTAAGTAGACATGACTCTGAACGGGCCCCCTCATGTGTGCGAGAGCGCTCAGAGGCTTCAACATATTTTCATCAGGGACAACTCACTCATACGCATGTTGCATAACGAGGGGAACATCTTTAAGAATCATGGCCATGAATCGAAAATGCGCGAAGTCGACGTTTTCCAGCAACCAGTCCCTTTCGCAATCGTCTACGATGAACTCGACGTTTGGCGGAACCCAAAGCGGCTGGATCGGTGTCAAGTCTATACCCAAAACCGAGGCACTGGGATACGCATCACCAGCTGTGATGCAAGTGTCAGACATGCGTTGAGTGAGGGAAAAAAAACAGCTCAACAGGGCATACCGACTTTCAATTGCCCATATTCCTGGTCAAGTCAGCTTTTTCGGACTTGTTATTTAAACTAGTTATCTAGCACGCAATGCAAACGTACCTGTACCAGTTCCAATATCGACAATCTTTTGAGGGTGCTCTCCAATCGGCGAGAGAAACAGCTTGCCCCCCGTCAACTCCATGAGCATGACATGCTTCATGTCTTCTCGCGACTGCTCAATGTCGTCATTTGGGATTGGATAACGGCTGTTCTTGTATGACTGGTAGCGGCGACCCCGTTCATACGTGTGCGCGTAGACACTGGAGCTCACGCTGACCAGGTCCGAGTCGACGCTGTTGGCCTCAAACTCATCGTCGCTGACATCCCCGCTGGCAGCTGCCTCGATGGGCGGCTCTTCTTCGGCCAACCACGCCGGCGGAGGGGGATCGGACAATGACGCAGGGTGATGGTGGTCTGCGGTCGCCTGCTCTGGCTCTGGCTCTGGCTCTGGCTCTGGCTCTGGCTCTGGCTCTGGCTCTGGCTCTGGCTCAGGCTCAGGCTCTGGCCTTGGCTACTGGCTCTGGCTCTGGCTCTGACTTTGTGGATCTCGATGGCGTCCGTTCCTTTTCCGACCCCTGATATTCAGAACCCATGTTTTTCAATGGTTTTTTTTTTCTTTGCCAAAGAACAACAAAAAAGAAGAAAAGGAAAAAAAAAAGGATTGCGTAGGTATGTAGGGCCAACTCAGTGCCTCGTCAAGGAAAGCGCACCCCTTGTTTTGTGCGACTAGGCTTGTCCTCCAGTCGCACGCCGCTCGCTTGCTCCTCACTGGTCAAGCAAAAAGGAAAAAAAAAAAGGCCACGCCCGCCGCAATGGAAAGACAAAGGGCGGCGGCGCCAGCTCCAGCGGAAGAAAGCGGACGAACCGTTGGTAGTAGCAGCACACCAAGGACTTGTCTACCCAACTACCTAGCCAACTAGTCCGATGCAAAGCAATGTATTGTCGCAGAGCTTACTTGCTTGGCGGTAGAGTTGTATCCGATTATGCCGTGCTTCGTCAACTTTGTTCCTCGCAGGCTGTCTACTGATACTGATACTGATACGACCATTTCGGCTAGGGCACAGCCGAGACCTGCCAACTAATAAA